GGAGGATGGGGCTGAGCAGGAGCTTGGGGGATTTGGGGGTGTTTTTTGGGATTTTGCGAAGGATTTGGGGTTTTTTTGGGGTGTTTTTTTGGGATTTTGCGAAGGATTTGGGGTTTTTTTGGGGGTTTTTTTTGGGGTTTTGGGGTTCCCCTGACCCTGATTGCCCCCCCAGATGAGGCTGCCCCCCCCGGGACCCCCCAGCCCTGGAGGAGGATGAGGCTGAGCAGGAGCTTGGGGGATTTGGGAGTGTTTTTAGGGATATTTTGAAGGATTTGGGGGTTTTTTGGGGTGTTTTTAGGGATTTTGCGAAGGATTTGGGGTTTTTTTTGGGGGGGTTTTTTTGGGGTTTTTTATTTTTGGGATTTTGGGGTTCCCCTGACCCTGATTGCCCCCCAGATGAGGCTGCCCCCCCCGGGACCCCCCCAGCCCTGGAGGAGGATGAGGCTGAGCAGGAGCTGCAGCAGCAGCTGGAACGGGGCCGGCGCCTGCGGCAGCTGCGGGAGCTGCGTGAGGGAGGGGGAGAGAAGGTGAGAAACCCCCCCAAAAAAAACCCAAAAACCACCCCAAAACCCCCCCAAAAAGTCTCCCAAAATCCCCCTGAAAATACTCACAGAATCCCCTCAAAAACTCCCAAAATCCCCCACAAAAAATCTCCAGAAATCCTCCCAGAAGTCTCCCAAAACCTCATCAAAATCCCTCCAAAAAACTCCCAGAAACCCCCTAAAACCCCATCAAAAATCCCCTAAAAGCCCCCCAAAACCCACTCTCCATAACACCCCAAAAATCTTCATTTTACCACCCCAAAAAATGTTTATGGTGACCCTAAAATCTCTCTGAGGATCCCCAAACTTGCCCTATCCAGCAACGCTGGAATTCCCCCCAAAATTTTCTCCAAACTGCCCCAAAACTCCCCCAAACTGCCCCAAATCCCCTCCAACCCCCCCTTAAATCCCTCCAAACCTCTCGGGGCACCCCCAAAACCTCCTTGTGGGACCCCCAATCCCAAAATCTCTCCCAGAGACCCCCAAAACCACCCCAAATTCCCTTAAGTCGCCCCCAAGATCCCCAAATCCCCCCAAAACTGCCCCAAATTCTCTCCAAATTCCCCCATATCTCCACCAATTCCTCCCCAAATCCCCCCAAAACTCCCCCAAAACCTCCTTGTGGGACCCCCCAATCCCAAAATCTCCCCCAAAGACCCCCAAAACCACCCCAAATTCCCTTAAGTCACCCCCAAGACCCCTAAATCCCCCAACCCCTCTCAAATCAGCCCCAAATCCCCCCAAAACTGCCCCAAATTCCCCCATATTTTCACCAATTCCTCCCCAAATCCCCCCAAAACTCCCCCAAAACCTCCTTGTGGGACCCCCAATCCCAAAATCTCTCCCAGAGACCCCCAAAACCACCCCAAATTCCCTTAAGTCACCCCCAAGATCCCTAAATCCCCCAGCCCCTCTCAAATCAGCCCCAAATCCCCCCAAAACTGCCCCAAATCCCCCCAAATCAGCCCCAAATCCCCCCAAAACTGCCCCAAATTCTCTCCAAATTCCCCCATATCTCCACCAATTCATCCCCAAATCCCCCCAAAACTCCCCTAAAACCTCCTTGTGGGACCCCCACTCCCAAAAACTCCCCCAAAGACCCCCCAAAACCACCCGAAATTACCTTAAATCACCCCCAAGATCCCTAAATCCCTCTCAAATCAGCCCCAAATCCCCCCAAAACTGCCCCAAATCCCCCCAAAACTGCCCCAAATTCTCTCCAAATTCCCCCATATCTCCACCAATTCCTCCCCAAATCCCCCCAAAACTCCCCTAAAACCTCCTTGTGGGACCCCCAATCCCAAAATCTCCCCCAAAGACCCCCAAAACCACCCGAAATTCCCTTAAGTCACCCCCAAGATCCCCAAATCCCCCCAAAACTCCCCCAAAACCTCCTTGTGGGACCCCCAATCCCAAAATCTCTCCCAGAGACCCCCAAAACCACCCCAAATTCCTTTAAGTCACCCCCAAGATCCCTAAATCCCCCAGCCCCTCTCAAATCAGCCCCAAATCCCCCCAAAACTGCCCCAAATTCCCCCATATCTCCACCAATTCCTCCCCAAATCCCCCCAAAACTCCCCTAAAACCTCCTTGTGGGACCCCCACTCCCAAAATCTCTCCCAAAGACCCCCCAAAACCTCCTCAAATCCCAACGCCCTCTCCCAAAACCCCCTAAAAAAGGGGGGATAACCCCAAATTTGGACCCCCCTCTTTTGGCAGGTGCTGGAGCTGCTCCGGGGGGGCTCTGGGGGGGTCCCGGGGGGGCCGGACCCCCGGGGGGGGGGCAGCATCGTCTTCAACGCCACCTCGGAATTCTGCCGGACGCTGGGAGAGATCCCGACCTACGGCCTGGCCGGGAACCGCGAGGAGCAGGACGAGCTCATGGTCAGGGCCTGGGGGGCTTTGGGGCACTTTTGGGGGGATTTGGGGCAGTTTTAGGGGAATTTGGGGGGGTTGGAGGGGGTTTGGAGGGGGTTTGGGGCAGTTTTGAGGGGCTTTGGGGCAGTTTTGAAGGGGGTTTGGGGCAGTTTTGAAGGGGGTTTAGGGACATTTGGGGCAGTTTTGGAGGGTTGGAGAGGGTTTTTAGGGGCATTGGGGGGGTTGAAGGGGGTTTGCGGCAGTTTTAGGGGGCTTTGGGGCAGTTTTAGGGGGATTTGGGGCAGTTTTGGGGGGATTGGGGGAGTTGGAGGGGGTTTGGGGCAGTTTTGGGGGGGTTTGGGGCAGTTTTGGGGAGATTTGGGGGCATTTGGGAGAGTTTGGGGAGGTTTGGGGGCAGGTTTGGGGGATTTGGGGGCATTTGGGAGAGTTTAGGGGGGATTAGGGGAGGTTTGGGGGCAGTTTTAGGGATTTGGGGGGGTTGGAGGGGGTTTGGGGCAGTTTTGGGGGATTTGGGGCAGTTTTGAAGGGGGTTTGGGGATATTTAGGGCAGTTTTGGGGGGGTTGGAGAGGGTTTGGGGCAGTTTTGGGGGGATTTGGGGCAGTTTTGGGGGGATTGGGGGAGTTGGAGGGCATTTGGGGGGGGTTGGAGGGGGTTTGGGGCAGTTTTGGGGGGATTTGGGGCAGTTTTGAAGGGGGTTTGGGGCAGTTTTGAAGGGGATTTGGGGATATTTAGGCCAGTTTTGGGGGGATTTGGGGCAGTTTTGAAGCGGGTTTGGGGATATTTAGGGCAGTTTTGGGGGGATTGGGGCAGTTTTAGGGGAATTTGGGGGGGTTGGAGGGGGTTTGGGGCAGTTTTGGGGGGATTTGGGGCAGTTTTGAAGGGGGTTTGGGGATATTTAGGGCAGTTTTGGGGGCATTGGGGCAGTTTTAGGGGAATTTGGGGGGGTAGGAGGGGGTTTGGGGCAGTTTTAGGGGAATTTGGGGAGGTTGGAGGGCATTTGGGGGGGGTTGGAGGGGGTTTGGGGCAGTTTTGAGGGGATTTGGGACAGTTTTGAAGGGGGTTTGGGGATATTTAGGGCAGTTTTGGGGAGATTTGGGCGCATTTGGGAGAGTTTGGGGAGGTTTGGGGGCAGGTTTGGGGGATTTGGGGGCATTTGGGAGAGTTTGGGGAGGTTTGGGGGCAGTTTTGGGGGATTTGGGGGCATTTGGGAGAGTTTGGGGAGGTTTGGGGGCAGGTTTGGGGGATTTGAGGGCATTTGGGAGAGTTTGGGGGGGACTGGGGGAGATTTCGGGGTGTTGGAGGGGCTTTGGGGCAGTTTTGGGGGGATTCAGGGAGTTGGAGGGCATTTGGGGGGGGTTGGAGGGGGTTTGGGGCAGTTTTGGGGGGATTTGGGGCAGTTTTGAAGGGGGTTTGGGGATATTTAGGGCAGTTTTGGGGGGGGTTGGGGGCAGTTTTGGGGGATTTGGGGGCATTTGGGAGAGTTTTGGATGGGATTTGGGGGGGTTGGAGGGGGTTTGGGGCAGTTTTGGGGGGATTTGGGGCAGTTTTGAAGGGGGTTTGGGGATATTTAGGGCAGTTTTGGGGGGATTTGGGGATATTTAGGGCAGTTTTGGGGAGATTTGGGGGCATTTGGGAGAGTTTGGGGGGGACTGGGGGAGATTTCAGGGTGTTGGAGGGGGTTTGGGGCAGTTTTAGGGGAATTTGGGGAGGTTGGAGGGCATTTGGGAAGGATTGGAGGGGGTTTGGGGCAGTTTTATGGGGATTTGGGGACATTTGGAAGAGTTCTGGATGGGATTTGGGTGGGTTGGAGGGGATTTGGGGCAGATTTGAGGGGATTTGGGGCCTTTTGGAAGAGTTTTGGATGGGATTTGAGGGGATTTGGGGCAGATTTATGGGGATTTGGGGGAGTTTGGGAGGGATTTGGGGGTGGTTTGGATGGAATTTGTTCTCCCCATATTTGTCCTCTCCGTGTCCCTGGCTGTCCCCAATGTCCCCAATGTCCCCAATGTCCCCAATGTCCCCGATGTCCCCAATGTCCCCGATGTCCCCGATGTCCCCAATGTCCCCAATGTCCCCAATGTCCCTGATGTTCCCAATGTCCCCAATGTCCCCAGTGTCCCCAATGCCCACGATGTCCCCAATGCCCCCAATGTCCCCAGTGTCCCCGATGTCCCCAATGTCCCCGATGTCCCCGGTGTCCCCAATGTCCCCAATGTCCCCTGGTGTCCCCAATGTCCCCAATGTCCCCAATGTCCCCAATGTCCCCAGTGTCCCCAATGTCCCAAATGTCCCCAATGTCCCCTGGTGTCCCCAATGTCCCAAATGCCCACGATGTCCCCAATGTCCCCAATGTCCCCGATGTCCCCAATGTCCCCAATGTCCCCAGTGTCCCCGTGTGTCCCCAATGTCCCCAATGTCCCCAGTGTCCCCAATGTCCCCAATGTCCCCAATGTCCCCAGGCCCTGGAGCGCGCCGGCCGCCCGGCGTCACCCCCGGAGCCGCCGGACTCGGAGGGGGAGGAGAACGTGGGGTGGAGCAGCGTGAACCTGGCGGAGGAGCGGCAGCACCAGGACGTGAGGGGCTGGAAACGGGGGAGACACCCCGAAAATGGGATGGGGGACCCCAAAAACGGGGAGAAACACCCCAAAAATGGGCTGGGGGACCTCAAAAATGGGGAGAAACACCTCAAAAACGGGCTGGGGAACCCCAAAAATGGGATGGGGGACCATAAAAACGGGGAGAAACACCCCAAAAATGGGCTGGGGGACCTCAAAAATGGGGAGAACCACATCAAAAATGGAGAGAACCACATCAAAAAGGGAGAGAAACACCCCAAAAATGGGCTGGGGGACCCCAAAAATGGGGAGAAACACCCCAAAAATGGGCTGGGGAGCCCCAAAAATGGAAAGAAGCACCTCAAAAAGGGAGAGAACCACATCAAAAAGGGAGAGAAACACCCCAAAAATGGGCTGGGGGACCCCAAAAACGGGCTGGGGGACCCCAAAAATGGGGAGAAACACCCCAAAAATGGGGAGAAACACCCCAAAAATGGGCTGGGGAGCCCCAAAAATGGAAAGAAGCACCTCAAAAATGGAAACACCCCAAAAACGGGCTGGAGGACCCCAAAAATGGAGAGAACCACATCAAAAAGGGAGAGAAACAGCCCAAAAATGGGCTGGAGGACCCCAAAAACGGGCTGGGGAGCCCCAAAAATGGAGAGAACCACCCCAAAAATGGGCTGGGGGACCCTGAAAATAGGATAGGGGACCCCAAAAAATGGGAGAGAGCTCCAGATTTGGGGAAGAAATGGACATTTTTAAAACAAAGAGGGGAGGATAAAAATGGGATCCCAAAATGGGGAAAACTCATAAATGAGGGATCCCAAAATGTGGGGGAAAACCCCAAAATCAGGGAAAAACCCCAAAATTGAGGGGCCACAGAGGGGCACCCTCAAAAAAAAACCAAGAAGACCCTAAAATGGGGAGATCCCATAAAAGAGACACCCCAAAACGGGCTGACCCCAAACCCAACCACCCCAAACTCCCCTTTTAGGGACTCTGGGGGGTTCTTTAGGGGTTCCCCGATTTTGGGGTACCCCCTGACCCCCCAATTTTTTTAGTTTTCAGCCTCATCCACCACGATCCTGGACGAGGAGCCCATCGTGAACCGGGGCCTGGCGGCGGCGCTGCTGCTGTGCCAGAACAAAGGTCGGGATTTGGGGGAAATTTGGGGTTTTTGGGGTCCTTCTGGTGGGGTTTAGGGTCCCTACAGGGGTTTTGGGGTCCCTATGGGGCTTTTGGGGTCCTTCTGGTGGGGTTTAGGGTCCCTATGGGGCTTTTGGGGTCCTTCTGGTGGGGTTGAGGGTCCCTATGGGGCTTTTGGGGTCCTTCTGGTGGGGTTAATGTCCCTATGGGGCTTTTGGGGTCCCTATGGGGCTTTTGGGGTCCTTCTGGTGGGGTTTAGGGTCCCTATGGGGCTTTTGGGGTCCTTCTGGTGGGGTTTAGGGTCCCTATGGGGCTTTTGGGGTCCTTCTGGTGGGGTTAATGTCCCTATGGGGCTTTTGGGGTTCCTATGGGGTTTTTGGGTCCTTCTGGTGGGGTTAATGTCCCTATGGGGGTTTTGGGGTCCCTATGGGGCTTTTGGGGTCCTTCTGGTGGGGTTTAGGGTCCCTATGGGGCTTTTGGGGTCCTTCTGGTGGGGTTTAGGGTCCCTATGGGGCTTTTGGGGTCCCTCTGGTGGGGTTTAGGGTCCCTATGGGGCTTTTGGGGTCCCTATGGGGCTTTTGGGGTCCTTCTGGTGGGGTTTAGGGTCCCTATGGGGTTTTGGGGTCCTTCTGGTGGGGTTAATGTCCCTATGGGGCTTTTGGGGTCCTTCTGGTGGGGTTTAGGGTCCCTATGGGGGTTTTGGGGTCCCTATGGGGCTTTTGGGGTCTGTTTGAGGGGGTTTTGAGGGGTTTGGGGTCATTATGGGGGTTTTGGGGTTCCTATGGGGCTTTTGGGGCCTTCTGGTGGGGTTTAGGGTCCCTATGGGGCTTTTGGGGTCCTTCTGGTGGGGTTTAGGGTCCCTATGGGGGTTTTGGGGTCCTTCCGGTGGGGTTTAGGGTCCCTATGGGGCTTTTGGGGTCCTTCTGGTGGGGTTGAGGGTCCCTATGGGGCTTTTGGGGTCCTTCTGGTGGGGTTTAGGGTCCCTATGGGGCTTTTGGGGTTCCCTGTGAAGTTTTGGGGTTCCCTGTGAAGTTTTGGGGTTCCCTGTGAAGTTTTGGGGGTCGCTGTGAGGTTTTGGGGTTCCCTGTGAAGTTTTGGGGTTCCCTGTGAAGTTTTGGGGTTCCCTGTGGGGTTTTGGGGTTCCCTGTGAAGTTTGGGGGTCACTGTGAGGTTTTGGGGGTCGCTGTGAGGTTTTGGGGTTCCCTGTGAAGTTTTGGGGGTCGCTGTGAAGTTTTGGGGGTCCCTGTGAGGTTTTGGGGTTCCCTGTGAAGTTTTGGGGTTCCCTGTGAGGTTTTGGGGGTCTCTGTGGGGTTTTGGGGTTCCCTGTGAAGTTTTGGGGGTCCCTGTGAAGTTTTGGGGTTCCCTGTGAAGTTTTGGGGGTCGCTGTGGGGTTTTGGGGGTTCCCTGTGAAGTTTTGGGGTTCCCTGTGAAATTTTGGGGTTCCCTGTGAGGTTTTGGGGTTCCCTGTGAAGTTTTGGGGTTCCCTGTGAGGTTTTGGGGGTCACTGTGGGGTTTTGGGGGTCGCTGTGAAGTTTTGGGGTTCCCTGTGGGGTTTTGGGGGTCACTGTGGGGTCTCACATCCCCCCGTGTCCCCCCCATGTCCCCCCAATGTCCCCAGGGCTGTTGGAGACCACGGTGCAGAAGGTGGCACGAGTGAAAGCCCCGAACAAATCCCTGCCCTCGGCCGTGTACTGCATCGAGGACAAGATGTGAGTGTCACCTGTGTCCCCTCAGTGTCACCTGTGTCACCTGTGTCACCTCAGTGTCCCCTCAGTGTCACCTGTGTCACCTCATCACCCCCACAAACCCCTGTCCCCCCCATCCCTGCCCTCGGCCGTGTACTGCATCGAGGACAAGATGTGAGTGTCACCTGTGTCACCTGTGTCACCTCAGTGTCCCCTCGGTGTCACCTGTGTCACCTCAGTGTCACCTGTGTCACCTCAGTGTCCCCTCAGTGTCCCCTCAGTGTCCCTTCAGTGTCCCCTCAGTGTCACCTGTGTCATCCCTTGTGTTACCCGCTGTGTCACCCTGAGCCTCCCAGTGTCCCTGTTGTCCCCAGTGATGTCCCCAATGTCCCCAACGCTGTCCCCGTGTACCCAGTGATGTCCCCAACGATGTCCCCAACGCTGTCCCCAATGTCTCCATGTCCATCAATGCCCAGTACAGCTGCCAGGAGCTGTCCCCAGTGATGTCCCCAATGTCCCCAGGGATGTCCCCAATGTCCCCAACAATGTCCCCAACGCTGTCCCCGTGTCCCCAGGGCCATCAATGACCAGTACAGCTGCCGGGAGCAGGTCCCCAATGTCCCCAGGGATGTCCCCATGTCCCCAGTGATGTCCCCAGTGATGTCCCCAATGTCCCCAGTGATGTCCCCAACGTCCCCAAGGCTGTCCCCGTGTCCCCAGGGCCATCGATGACAAGTACAGCTGCCAGGAGCAGGTCCCCAATGTCCCCAGTGATGTCCCCAATGTCCCCAACAATGTCCCCAATGTCCCCAGTGATGTCCCCAATGTCCCCAGGGATGTCCCCAATGTCCCCAACAATGTCCCCAGGGCCATCCATGACCACTACAACTGCCAGGAGCTGTACCCAGTGATGTCCCCAGTGATGTCCCCAATGTCCCCAGGGATGTCCCCAATGTCCCCAACGCTGTCCCCGTGTCCCCAGGGCCATCGATGACAAGTACAGCCGCCAGGAGCTGTCCCCAGTGATGTCCCTAATGTCCCCAGTGATGTCCCCAATGTCCCCAACGCTGTCCCCAGTATCCCCAGGGATGTCCCCAATGTCCCCAGTGATGTCCCCAATGTCCCCAACGCTGTCCCCATGTCCCCAGGGATGTCCCCAATGTCCCCAGTGATGTCCCCAATGTCCCCAGTGATGTCCCCAGTGTCCCCAACAATGTCCCCGTGTCCCCAGGGCCATCCATGACCACTACAACTGCCGGGAGCTGTCCCCAGTGATGTCCCCAATGATGTCCCCAATGTCCCCAACGCTGTCCCCAATGTCCCCAGGGCCATCGATGACAAGTACAGCTGCCGGGAGTAGGTCCCCAATGTCCCCAATGGTGTCCCCAATGTCCCCAGCGATGTCCCCGTGTCCCCAGGGCCATCCATGACCACTACAACTGCCAGGAGCTGTCCCCAGTGATGTCCCCAATGTCCCCAGTGATGTCCCCAATGTCCCCAACAATGTCCCCAATGTCCCCAATGGTGTCCCCAATGTCCCCAGTGATGTCCCCATGTCCCCAGGTCCATCAATGACCAGTACAGCTGCCAGGAGCTGTACCCAGTGATGTCCCCAGTGATGTCCCCAATGTTCCCAATGATGTCCCCAATGTCCCCAACAATGTCCCCAATGTCCCCAGGGATGTCCCCAATGTCCCCAGTGATGTCCCCAATGTCCCCAACAATGTCCCCAACACTGTCCCCAATGTCCCCAGGGCCATCGATGACAAGTACAGCTGCCAGGAGCTGTACATCAATAATGTCCCCAATGTCCCCAATGTCCCCAATGTCCCCAGGGCCATCGATGACCAGTACAGCTGCCAGGAGCTGTACCTAGTGATGTCCCCAGTGATGTCCCCAATGTCCCCAACGCTGTCCCCGTGTCCCCAGGGCCATCCATGACCACTACAACTGCCAGGAGCTGTACCCAGTGATGTCCCCAATGATGTCCCCAATGTCCCCAGTGATGTCCCCAATGTCCCCAAGGCTGTCCCCGTGTCCCCAGGGCCATCAATGACCAGTACAGCTGCCAGGAGCTGTCCCCAGTGATGTCCCCAGTGATGTCCCCAATGTCCCCAATGTCCCCAGGGCCATCAATGACCAGTACAGCTGCCAGGAGCTGTCCCCAGTGATGTCCCCAGTGATGTCCCCAATGTCCCCAATGTCCCCAGGGCCATCGATGACAAGTACAGCCTCCGGGAGCAGGTCCCCAATGTCCCCAGGGATGTCCCCAATGTCCCCAATGTCCCCAATGTCCCCAATGTCCCCAGGGCCATCGATGACAAGTACAGCCGCCGGGAGCTGTGCACCAATAATGTCCCCAATGATGTCCCCAATGATGTCCCCAATGTCCCCAATGTCCCCAGGGCCATCGATGACAAGTACAGCCGCCGGGAGGAGTTCCGGGGCTTCACGCAGGATTTCAAGGAGAAGGACGGGTACCGGCCCGACGTCAAGATCGAGTACGTGGACGAGACCGGCCGCAAGCTCACCCCCAAAGAGGTGGCGTGTCCCCAAAGTCCCCACAGTGTCCCCAAAACGCCCCAGAGTGTCCCCAATACCCCCACAGTGTCCCCAAAACTACCCAGTGTCCCCAACACCTCCACAGTGTCCGCAGGACACCCTCACAGTGTCCCCAGAACACCCCCAGAGTGTCCCCAAAACTCCCCACAGTGTCCCCAGAACAGTGTCCCCAAAGTCCCCACAGTGTCCCCAAAACTCCCCAGAGTGTCCCCAGAACAGTGTCCCCAAAACTCCTCAGAGTGTCCCCAACACTCCTCAGAGTGTCCCCACCACCCCACGGTGTCCCAAAACTCCCCACAGTGTCCCCAAACTCCCCAGAGTGTCCCCAGCATCCCCATGGTGTCCCCACCACCCCACGGTGTCCCAAAAACTCTCCACAGTGTCCCCAAAACTCCCCACAGTGTCCCCAGAGCGCCCCAGTGTCCCCAGAACACCCCCAGAGTGTCCCCCGCACTCCCCAGAGTGTCCCCAACACTCCTCAGAGTGTCCCCAACACTCCTCAGAGTGTCCCCAGAACACCCCACAGTGTCCCCAGCACTCCCCACAGTGTCCCCAGAACACCCCCAGAGTGTCCCCAAAACTCCCCACAGTGTCCCCAGAACACCCCACATTTTCCCCTGCTGTCCCCTGACCCCAAAATGTCCCCAAACCTCCCGGTTAACCCAAAGTCTCCCACATCACCCCTGGTGTCCCCAACCCCCCTCTAGTGTCCCCTAATGTCCCCAATGTCCCCAATGTCCCCCCAGTGTCCCCTCAATGTCCCAAATGTCCCCCAATATCCCTGATGTCCCCAATCTCCCCGACGTCCCTGATGTCCCCAAGGCCTCAATGTCCCCAATGTCCCCAATGTCCCCAATGTCCCCAATGTCCCCAATGTCCCAAATGCCCCCAATGTCCCCGATGTCCCCAATGTCCCCAATGTCCCTGATGTCCCCGATGTCCCCAACATGTCCCAATGTCCTCAATGTCCCCAATGTCCCAAATATCCCCAATGCCCCCAATGTCCCCAACATGTCCCCGATGTCCCCGATGTCCCCAACATGTCCCGATGTCCCCGATGTTCCCAACACGTCCCTGATGTCCCCAAGGCCTCAATGTCCCCAATGTCCCAAATATCCCAAATGTCCCGATGTCCCCAATGTCCCCAACATGTCCCGATGTCCCCAATGTCCCCAATGTCCCCAATGTCCCAAATGTCCCCAAGCCCTCAATGTCCCCAATGTCCCAAATATCCCCAATGTCCCAAATGTCCCCAACATGTCCCGATGTCCCCGATGTCCCCAACACGTCCCTGATGTCCCCAAGCCCTCAATGTCCCAAATGTCCCAATGTCCCCAATGTCCCCAATGTCCCCAACATGTCCCCGATGTCCCCAATGTCCCAAATGTCCCCGATGTCCCAAATGTCCCCGATGTCCCCAACATGTCCCGATGTCCCCAATGTCCCAAATGTCCCCGATGTCCCAAATGTCCCCGATGTCCCCAACATGTCCCAATGTCCCCAATGTCCCAAATATCCCCAATGTCCCTGATGTCCCCAATGTCCCCAATGTCCCCAATGTCCCCAATGTCCCCAATGTCCCAAATGTCCCCCAATGTCCCCAATGTCCCCAAATATCCCCAATGTCCCCAATGTCCCCAATGTCCCCAATGTCCCCAATGTCCCCAATGTCCCCAACATGTCCCGATGTCCCCAATGTCCCCAACATGTCCCGATGTCCCCAATGTCCCCAACATGTCCCGATGTCCCCAATGTCCCCAACATGTCCCGATGTCCCCAATGTCCCCAACATGTCCCCGATGTCCCCAGGCCTTCCGGCAGCTCTCCCATCGCTTCCACGGGAAGGGCTCGGGGAAGATGAAGACGGAGAGGAGGATGAAGAAGTTGGATGAGGAGGCGGTGAGGGGGATTTTGGGGGGATTTTGGGGGAATTTGGGGGATTTTTGGGACCCCCCCGCTGCTCCTATCAGGGGGTCTCCACTCCAATTTTGGGATCTCCACTCTAATTTTGGAGTCTCCAATTTTGGGGTCTCGTGGTGCTGCTGAAGGTTTTGACCCCAGTTTTGGGGTTCCCGGGATGTTTTTGAGGTCGTTGGCCCAAATTTTGGGATCCTCCAGCCTGATTTTGGGGTCCCCTGGAGGATTTTGGGGTCCCCCCAGCTCCACTGGAGAATTCCAGCCCAATCTGGGGACCTTGAACCCCAATTTTGGGGGTCTCCCCGTGGTTTTGGGGCGATACCCTTGGATCGAGGGGTTCCCTTGGGATTTTGGGGTTTTTTCCCAAGATTTTTTTGGGGGAATTCCCAAATTTTTTGGGGTCCTCCTGATTTTTGGGGCGCTCCTCTGATTATGGGGTGCAGCCACCAAAGAAGGGGAACCCCAATGTCCCCCTGGGGGATGGCAGCCCCCAAAACCTGGGGGGGGGTTTTCTTTGCGATTTGGGGGATTTTTGGGGTTTTTTTCCCAAGATTTTTTTGGGGGAATTCCCAAAATTTTTGGGGTCCTCCTGATTTTGGGGCGCTCCTCTGATTATGGGGTGCAGCCACCAAAGAAGGGGAACCCCAATGTCCCCCTGGGGATGGCAGCCCCCAAAACCTGGGGGGGGGGTTTTCTTTGCGATTTGGGGGATTTTTGGGGTTTTTTTGGGGGGGGGTTTTGGGGTTTTTGGGGTGGCCCCGATTTGGGGGTTCACCCCCCGTTTTTGGGGTGCAGCTGCTGAAGAAGATGAGCTCCAGTGACACCCCCCTGGGCACGGTGGCGCTGCTGCAGGAGAAGCAGCGGGCGCAGAAAACGCCGTACATCGTCCTGAGCGGCTCCGGCAAGAGCATGAACGCGTGAGCGCCAAACTGGGAGCACTGGGAGGGACTGGGGGGGGACTGGGATGGACTGGGATGGACTGGGAGGGACTGGGAGGGACTGGGGGGGGGGGACTGGGAGCACTGGGAGGGGATTGGGGGAGGATTGGGATGGACTGGGAAAGGACTGGGAGCACTGGGAGGGGATTGGGAGGGGACTGGGATGGACTGGGAGCACTGGGAGGGACTGTGGGGGGACTGGGATGGACTGGGGGGGATTGGGAGGGAACTGGGATGGACTGGGGGGGATTGGGATGGACTGGGGGGGGATTGGGATGGACTGGGGAAGGACTGGGAGCACTGGGAGGGACTGGGGGGGACTGGGGGGGCACTGGAGGGGACTGAGAGGGAACTGGGAGAGGATTGGGATGGACTGGGATGGACTGGGGAAGGACTGGGAGCACTGGGAGAGGATTGGGAGGGAACTGGGATGGACTGGGGGGGATTGGGATGGACTGGGAGGGACTGGGGGGGAACTGGGAGGGGATTGGGAGGGAACTGGGATGGACTGGGGGGGATTGGGATGGACTGGGGGGGGCTGGGGGGAAACTGGGAGGGGATTGAGAGGGACTGGGGGGGACTGGGATGGACTGGGAGAGGATTGGGATGGACTGGGGAAGGACTGGGAGCACTGGGAGAGGATTGAGAGGGAACTGGAGGAACTGGGAGCACTGGGAGGGAACTGGGGGAGGATTGGGAGGGAACTGGGAGGATCTGGGAGAGGATTGGGAGGGACTGGGATGGACTGGGAGGGGATTGGGAGGGAACTGGGGGGACTGGGATGGACTGGAAAGGAACTGGGAGGGACTGGGAGGGGATTGGGATGGACTGGGAAGAACTGGGAGGGACTGGGAGGGACTGGGATGAACTGGGAGGGAACTGGAGGGAACTGGGAGGGAACTGGGAGAGGATTGGGATGGACTGGGGAAGGACTGGGAGCACTGGGAAGGACTGGGAGCACTGGGAAGGACTGGGAGCACTGGGAGGGGATTGGGAGGGAACTGGGGGGACTGGGAGCACTGGGATGGACTGGGAGCACTGGGAGCACTGGGAGCACTGGGAGCACTGGGTCACTGACCCCTCTTGTCCTTCCAGGAACACCATCACCAAGTGAGGGGCACGGGGGACACTTGGGGACAACCTGGGACAGCCCAGGGACACCTTTGGGTCACTGCTGGACACCCTGGGGACACCCCTGGGGACACCCCTGGGGACACCCTTGGGGACACCCCTGGGGACACCCTTGGGACACCCCTGGGGACACCCTGGGGACATCCCTGGGTGGGGACACCCCTGGGGACACCCCTGGGGACACCCCTGGGTGGGGACACCCTTGGGGACAATAAAAGCCTCCGGGATCACTCTGTGTCACCGTGTGTCACTGGGGGGGAGGTGACACACAGAGCCACCCCAGTGCCACCAGCGTCCTTTATTGGGGAGTGTCCCCCTGCCCCGTGTCCCCCCTGTCCCCCCTGTCCCCATTGTCCTGTGGCTGAGGGGTCCTGGCCTTGTCACCGGTGTCACTCGTGTCACTCATGTCCTCCGTGTGTCCCCGGGGTCCGTGGTGCTCCGAGCTGTCCCCAGTGTCCTCCTTGTCCCCGTCCTCGTTGTCCTCGTTGTCCCCGTCGCTGTCCCCGGTGTCCTCCTCCTTGTCCCCATCGCTGTCCTCGTTGTCCTCCTCGTTGTCCTCGTTGTCCCCCGTGTCCTCCTCGCTGTCCCCAGAGCTGTCCCCGGTGTCCCCAAGGGTCCCCCCCCGGTTGGTGTTGACAAAGAGCCCCTGGTCGTCACTGGGGGGGACACACGGGGGGTCACAGTGTCCCCAAAGTGCCACAGTGTCCCCAAGGGTGAGACCGTGTCCCCAGGTGTGCCACCGTGTCCCCAAAGTGTGACACCGTGTCCCCAAGTGTGACATCGTGTCCCCAAAGTGCCACCGTGTCCCCAAAGTGTGACATCGTGTCCCCAAAGTGCCACCGTGTCCCCAAAGTGACATCGTGTCCCCAAGTGTGACATCGTGTCCCCAAGTGTGACACCATGTCCCCAAAGTGCCACTGTGTCCCCAAGTGTGACATCGTGTCCCCAAAGTGCCACAGTGTCCCCAAAGTGCCACCGTGTCCCCAAAGTGCCACCGTGTCCCCAAAGTGCCACCATGTCCCCAAGTGTGACACCGTGTCCCCAAAGTGACACCATGTCCCCAAGTGTGACATTGTGTCCCCAAAGTGCCACCGTGTCCCCAAAGTGCCACCATGTCCCCAAGTGTGACATCGTGTCCCCAAAGTGCCACCGTGTCCCCAAAGTGCCACAGTGTCCCCAAAGTGCCACCGTGTCCCTGAGTGTGACACCCTGCCCCTAAAGTGCCACCGTGTCCCCAAGTGTGCCATCGTGTCCCCAAAGTGCCACCATGTCCCCAAAGTGCCACCGTGTCCCCAAGTGTGCCACCGTGTCCCCAAAGTGCCACCGTGTCCCTAAGTGTGACATCGTGTCCCCAAGTGTGACACCGTGTCCCCAAAGTGCCACCGTGTCCCCAAGTGTGACACCGTGTCCCCAAGTGTGACACCGTGTCCCCAAAGTGCCACCGTGTCCCCAAGTGTGACATTGTGTCCCCAAAGTGCCACCGTGTCCCCTTGACCCCATTCTGACCCCTCCTCCCCTTTACTGTCCCCATTAATGACCCCCAAATTAACCCCCCTAATTATCACTCCCCAATTAACCCTCTTAATTATCACTCCCCAATTAACTCCCCTATTATCACCCCCCCAATTAACCCCCCTATTATCACCCCCCTAATTAATCCACCATTATCACCCCCACAATTAACCCCCCTTAATTACCACCCCCACAATTAACCCCCCTATTATCACCCCCCCAATTAACCCCCTATTATCACCCCCCTAATTAATCCACCATTATCACCCCCCTAATTAATCCACCTATTATCACCCCCCTAATTAATCCACCATTATCACCCCCCAATTAACCCCCCTAATTATCACCCCCCAATTAATCCCCCTAATTATCACCCCCCTAATTAACCCCCCTTAATTATCACCCCCTAATTAATCCACCATTATCACCCCCTCAATTAAGGTCCCGTTATTGTCCTCACTAACAAACCCCAATTAACACTAATTATTGCCCCCAATTAACACCTCCGTTGTTCCTCATTAATTAAACTCCCATTAGCGCCCCCCAATTAATACCTCCATTAACCCAAATTAATTAACATCCCATTATTGGCCGCAATTAATCCCCGTTACCACCCCCCAATTATCCAATTAAATTAAAATTAAAACAAATCCCAATTAAAACCCCATTATTGCCCCCAATTAACACCCCCATGGCTGGTCCCCAGTTAATTAGCACCTCTAATTATCCCCCCCTAATTAACTCACCCCTCCCGGGGGTTTTTCCTCTCCAGGGGGGCGAAGGCCTCGGGCCTGTGGGGGGAGGGGCGGTCACAGGGAGGATTTTGGGGTGAATTTTGGGGTTTTTTGGGAATTTTGGGGTGTTTTGGTGAATTTTGGGGTGATTTGGGAATTTTGGGGTGTTTTGGTGAATTTTGGGGTGATTTGGGAATTTTGGGGTGTTTTGGTGGAGTTTGGGGGTGATTTGGGAATTTTGGGGTGTTTTGGTGAATTTTGGGGTGATTTGGGAATTTTGGGGTGTTTTGGTGGAGTTTGGGGTTATTTGGGAATTTTGGGGTGTTTTGGTGAATTTTGGGGTTATTTGGGAATTTTGGGGTGTTTTGGTGAATTTTGGGGTTATTTTGGGAATTTTGGGGTGTTTTGGTGAATTTTGGGGTTATTTGGGAATTTTGGGGCGTTTTGGTGGAGTTTGGGGTTATTTGGGAATTTTGGGGTGTTTTGGTGAATTTTGGGGTTATTTGGGAATTTTGGGGTGTTTTGGTGAATTTTGGGGTTATTTGGGAATTTTGGGGTGTTTTGGTGAATTTTGGGGTGATTTGGGAATTTTGGGGTGTTTTGGTGAATTTTGGGGTTATTTGGGAATTTTGGGGTGTTTTGGTGAATTTTGGGGTTATTTGGGAATTTTGGGGTTATTTGGGAATTTTGGGGTGTTTTGGTGGATTTTGGGGTTATTTGGGAATTTTGGGGTGTTTTGGTGAATTTTGGGGTGATTTGGGAATTTTGGGGTGTTTTGGTGAATTTTGGGGTTATTTGGGAATTTTGGGGTGTTTTGGTGGAGTTTGGGGGTATTTTTGGGAGGGTTTTTTTGAGTTTTGGGGGGTTTGGGGTATTTAGGAGAATTTTGGGGTATTGGGGGGTGGCGATTTGGGATATTTTAGGGTGGTTTGGGGTTATTTTGGGGTGATTTGAGCTGTTTTGGTTTTGTGGTATTTTGGGGGGATTTGGGGAAATTTGGGGAGTTTTAGGGGAATTTGGGTTTTTCTTTGGGTATTTTGGGGCTGTTTGGGGATATTTTGGGGGGTATTTTTGGGTTTTGGGGGATTTTGTGTTCGGGGGGGGTGTTTTGGGGCAGTTATGGTGTATTTTTGGGTTTGGGGGGTATTTTGGGTTATTTTTGGGTTTGGGTGGCTATTTTTGGGTTTTGGGGGCTATCTTAGGATATTTTTGGGTTTTGGGGGTTATTTTGGGGTATTTTTGGGTTTGGGTGGCTATTTTGGGGCAGTATGGTGTATTTTTGGGTTTTGGGGGGTATTTTGGGGTAGTTTTGGGGTATTTTGGGTTTGGGTGGCTATTTTTGGGTTTTGAGGGATATCTTAGGATATTTTTGGGTTTGGGGGGGGTATTTTGGGGTTTTGGGGGGTATTTTGGGGTATTTTTGGGTTTGGGTGGTTATTTTGGGGTTTTGGGGGGTATTTTGGGGTATTTTTGGGTTTGGGTGGCTATTTTTGGGTTTTGGGGGATATCTTAGGATATTTTTGGGTTTGGCTGGCTATTTTTGGGGCAGTATGGTGTGTTTTTGGGTTTGGGGGGGTATTTTGGGTTATTTTTGGGGCAGTATGGTGTATTTTTCGGTTTTGGGGGATATCTTAGGATATTTTTGGGTTTTGGGGGGTATTTTGGGTTATTTTTGGGTTCGGGGGGGTATTTTTGGGGTATTTTTGGGTTTGGGTGGCTATTTTTGGGTTTTGGGGGGTATCTTAGGATATTTTTGGGTTTGGGGGGGTATTTTTGGGTTTTGGGGGGTATTTTGGGGTATTTTGGGTTTGGGTGGCTATTTTTGGGTTTTGGGGGATATCTTAGGATATTTTTGGGTTTGGCTGGCTATTTTTGGGGCAGTATGGTGTGTTTTTGGGTTTGGGGGGTATTTTGGGTTATTTTTGGGGCAGTATGGTGTATTTTTCGGTTTTGGGGGATATCTTAGGATATTTTTGGGTTTTGGGGGGTATTTTGGGTTATTTTTGGGTTCGGGGGGGTTTTTTTGGGGTATTTTTGGGTTTGGGTGGCTATTTTTGGGTTTTGGGGGGTATCTTAGGATATTTTTGGGTTTGGGGGGGTATTTTTGGGTTTTGGGGGGTATTTTGGGGTATTTTTGGGTTTGGGTGGCTATTTTTGGGTTTTGGGGGGTATTTTGGGTTATTTTTCGGTTTTGGGGGGATATTCTGGGTTATTTTTGGGTTTGGCTGGCTATTTTGGGGTTTTGGGGGGTGTTTTGGGTTATTTTTGGGTCTGGGTGGCTATTTTGGGTTATTTTTGGGTTTGGGTGGCTATTTTGGGTTATTTTTGGGTGGCTATTTTTGGGTTTTGGGGGATATCTTAGGATATTTTTGGGCTTTGGGGGGTATTTTGGGGTATTTTTGGGTTTGGCTGGCTATTTCTGGGTTTTGGGGGGTATCTTAGGGTATTTTTGGGTTTTGGGGGGTATTTTGGGTTATTTTTGGGTTTGGGGGGTATTTTGGGGTATTTTTGGGTTTGGCTGGCTATTTTTGGGGCAGTATGGTGTATTTTTGGGTTTGGGGGGGGTATTTTGGGTTATTTTTGGGCTTGGGTGGCTATTTTTGGGTTTTGGGGGGTATTTTGGGTTATTTTTGGGTTTGGGTGGCTATTTTTGGGTTTTGGGGGGTATCTTAGGATATTTTTGGGTTTTGGGGGCTATTTTGGGTTATTTTTGGGTTTGGGTGGCTATTTTTGGGTTTTGGGGGGTATTTTGGGTTATTTTTGGGTTTGGGTGGCTATTTTCGGGTTTGGGGGGGGATTTTGGGTTATTTTTGGGGCAGTATGGTGTATTTTTGGGTTTTGGGGGATATCTTAGGATATTTTTGGGTTTGGGGGGGTATTTTGGGTTATTTTTGGGGCAGTATGGTGTATTTTTGAGTTTTGGGGGATATCTTATGATATTTTTGGGTTTTGGGGGGTATCTTAGGATATTTTTGGGTTCGGGGGGGTATTTTGGGGTAGTTTTGGGGTATTTTGGGTTCGGGGGGGTATTTTGGGGTAGTTTTGGGGTATTTTGGGGTCCTACCAGAGCCCCTGGCGCTGCAGCGAGCGCACGTGGGGCGGGAGCAGCACCAGGGAAATTTCGGCTTTGACCTTGGAGCCCTCCAGGATGGGATCCACGAGCAGGAAATCGCCTGGGGGGACACGGGGTCACCGAGGGGTCACCGAGGGGTCACCAAGGGGTCACCGAGGGGTCACCAAGGGGTCACCAAGGGGTCACCCAGGGGTCACCGAGGGGTCACCCAGGGGTCACCGGGACACACACAGGGACAGGGGGACAAAGGGACAGGGACAGCGCCCGGGGTGGGGAGGGGACAGTGGGGGAGGGAGGGTGACAATGACAAAGTGACAAAGAGACGGTGGCAGCGCCCCGGTGACACAAAACAGGGATGTGGTGGCACTGCCCTGGTGACAATGACAAAGTGACAGTGACGCGAGACAGGGCCAAGATGGCAGTGACAGGGTGACAATGGCACAGTGACAATGGCACAGTGACAATGACAGGGTGACAATGACAAGGTGACAGTGACAGGGAGGCAGCGACATGGTGGCACTGCCCAGTGCCAGTGCCCTGGTGACAATGGCGTGGTGACAATGACAAAGTGACAGTGACACGAGACAGTGCCAAGATGGCAGTGACAGGGTGGCAGTGACACAGTGACAATGACAGGTTGATAGTGACGGGGTGGCAATAACACAGTGACACTGTGACAGGGTGACAATGACAGGGTGACACAGTGACCATGACAGGGTGGCAGTGACAGGGTGGCAATGATACAGTGACAGGGTGATAATGACACAGTGACAGGGTGATAATGACAGAGTGACAGTGACACAGTGACAGTGACAGGGTGACACAGTGACAATGACATGGTGACAGTGACACAGTGACGGGGTGACAGTGACACAGTGACAGTGACAGGGTGGCAGCGACAGGGTGACAATGACAGGGTGATAGTGACAGGGTGACAGGGTGACAATGACAAGGTGACAATGACAGGGTGACACAGTGACAATGACAGGGTGACAATGACACGGTGACAGTGACAGGGCGGCAGTGACAGGGTGATAATGACACGGTGATAGTGACAATGACAGGGTGACAGTGACACAGTGACAGTGACAGGGTGGCAGTGTCACCTCTCTTGATCCAGATGTGCCGCCGGAAGCGCGGTGGCAGTGACAGGTGACACAGTGACAATGACACGGTGACAGTGACACAGTGACACAGTGACAGGGTGACACAGTGACAATGACAGGGTGACAGTGACAAGGTGACACAGTGACAGTGACAGGGTGACAGTGACACAGTGACAGTGACAGGGTGACACAGTGACAGTGACAGTGTGACAGTGACACAGTGACACAGTGACAATGACATGGTGACAGTGACAGGGTGGCGGTGTCACCTCTCTTGATCCAGATGTGCCGCCGGAAGCGCGGTGGCATGCTGGCCAGGAACCGCGTCCCCTCCGCCGTCTCCACCTCGTGCAGGTTGTTCCCCGGTGTCCCCAACACCTGTGGGGACACTCAGTGTCCCCTCAATGTCCCCAGTGTCCCCAATGTCCCCCCATTCCTCCCCAATGTCCCTGCAGTGTCCCCAGTGTCCCCCTCAATGTCCCTGGTGTCCCCAATATCCCCCAATGTCCCCAACCTCCCCAGTGTCCCTGCAGTGTCCCCGATGTCCCCTCAATGTGCCCACAGTGTCCCAAATGTCCCTCCAGCCCCCCCGATGTCCCAAATCCTCCCAATGTCCCCAGTGTCCCCAATATCCCAAATGTCCCCCCAATCCCCCCAGTGTCCCCAACCCCCCCGGTGTCCCCGGTGTCCCCAGTGTCCCCAGGGTGCCCAATGTCCCCCCGATGTCCCCAGTCCCCCAATGTCCCTGGTGTCCCCGGTGTCCCCAACTCCCCCCATGTCCCCAATGTCCCCCCGATGTCCCCAACTCCCCCCATGTCCCTGATGTCCCCAACGCCCCCGGTGTCCCCGGTGTCCCCGCGCTGTCCCCAGTCCCCCGGTGTCCCCGATGTCCCCCCGGTGTCCCCGGTGTCCCCAATTCCCCGATGTCCCCAACCCCCCCGGTGTCCCAGGGGTTCCCGATGGCCCCAATCCCCCCGGTGTCCCCAGTATCCCAAATGTTCCCCCAATCCCCACGATGTCCCCAATCCCCCCAGTGTCCCCAATCCCCCGGTGTCCCCGATGTCCCCGGTGTCCCCGGTGTCCCCGATGTCCCCAATGTCCCCCCGGTGTCCCCAGTGTCCCCGCGGTGTCCCCAATGTCCCCGGTGTCCCCAATGTCCCCGTGATGTCCCCAATCCCCCGGTGTCCCCGATGTCCCCAGTCCCCCCGGTGTCCCCAATGCCCCGGTGTCCCCAATGTCCCCAATGTCCCCAATGTCCCCCAATGTCCCCCCGGTGTCCCCGCTGTCCCCGCTCTCACCCTGACCACGCTCTGCCCCTCCGCGGGCTGCACGCGCTCCTCCAGCAGTTCCCTCACCACGTGCTTCCGCTTGGTGGCGCGCGACATCGCGGGGCTGGGGGGACACGGGGGGGGCTCAGGGACCCCCGGCGGGGGGGGAGGGGCGGGGGGGGAGCCCCGGGACCCCCCCGGGACCCCCCGGGACCCGCCCCGGCCCCGCCCCCACCGAGCGGCGCCCGCTCACCTGCGGCGGCACTTCCGGGTAGAGCGGCGGCGGTGGCGTCACTTCCGGGAAGGAAGGCGGAAACGGAGGATGCCACGCCCCTCTATAGGCGGGGTCAAATATAGACTCCGCCCAAAAATGGGCGGGGCTAACAGTACCGGGTGGGCGTGGCCTAAACGAAACCGCGCTGTGAGAAATGAATGGCCGCGTTTGGGGGCGGGGCCAGGAAAGATGGCGGGACTTTATCATTTATTATGCAAATGATGGGCTGGATCACCGAGGGGCTCGCGCCAATCGGCTGAAATCCTGGTGTGATGCAAATGAGCGCTGATTTGGGGCGGTGCTATGCAAATAAGCGTGAATACATGCAGTGATTTGGGCGGCGCTATGCAAATGAGGATCCGGGATGTGGGGCCATGCTAATGAGCAGGGATAGCGAATCCTGTGACGTCACTCCGACAGCGCTCGTTTCCGTGACGTCACCCTCGCTGCCGTGACGTCACCCAAACCCCGCGCAAGCCCCGCCCGCTTCACCCCATGACGTCAGCACGCACGGCGCGGCGCCGCGCTCTCCGATTGGCTGCGGCGCCGGCGGCGGCGGCGGGGCCAAGATGGCGGCGGAGCGCGCGGAGGTGGCGGCGGCGGCGGTCGGACCCGGAGAGCCCCTCAGGGACCCCCTCAGGGCCCCCGAGCGCTCCCCGTACGCGGGATGGGCCCACCCCGAGCTCCAGGCCACGCTCGCCGGCATCGGAGCCCCCGCGCAGGGTGCGGGGCGGATCCGTGAGGGGAACGGGAGGACCCGTGAGGGGAGCGGGATCCGTGAGGGGAGCGGGAGGAGCCGTGAGGGGAGCGGGACCCGTGAGGGGAGCGGGAGGAGCCGTGAGGGGAGCGGGAGGAGCCGTGAGGGGAGCGGGATCCGTGAGGGGAGCGGGAGGAGCCGTGAGGGGAGCGGGACCCGTGAGGGGAGCGGGAGGAGCCGTGAGGGGAGCGGGAGGAGCCGTGAGGGGAGCGGGATCTGAGGGGGACGGGAGGAGCCGTGAGGGGAACGGGATCCGTGAGGGGAGCGGGATCCGTGAGGGGAACGGGAGGATCCGTGAGGGGAGCGGGATCCGTGAGGGGAACGGGAGGAGCCGTGAGGGGAACGGGATCTGAGGGGAACGGGAGGAGCCATGAGGGGAGCGGGATCCGTGAGGGGAGCGGGACCTGAGGGGAGCGGGATCCGTGAGGGGAGCGGGAGGAGCCATGAGGGGAGCGGGACCCGTGAGGGGAGCGGGGGGGATCCGTGAGGGGAACGGGATCCGTGAGGGGAGCGGGATCCGTGAGGGGAACGGGACCCGTGAGGGGTTGGGCGGGAAACTGAGCGGGGTTTGGAGTCACCTGAGGGGATTTGGGAGAGGTGTGAGGGGCAGGAGGGAAATTTTTGGGGTTTTGGGGTTGCTTGAGGAGAGATCTGAGGGGAAATTGGCGGGTTGGTGTTACCTGAGGGGATTTGGGGGAGGTGTGAGGGGAAAGGGACAATTTGGGGGAGGTGTGAGGGATAGGAGGGAAATTTGGGGGTTACTTGAGGGGAGATCTGAGGGGCAGGAGGGAAATTTTTGGGGTTTTGGGGTTGCTTGAGGAGAGATCTGAGGGGAAATTGGCGGGGTTGGTGTTACCTGAGGGGATTTGGGGGAGGTGTGAGGGGAAAGGGACAATTTGGGGGTTACTTGAGGAGAGATCTGAGGGGAAATTGGCGGGTTGGTGTTACCTGAGGGGATCTGGGAGAGGTGTGAGGTGTAGGAGGGAAATTTTGGGGTTTTGGGGTCACTTGAGGAGAGATCTGAGGGGAAATTGGTGGGTTGGTGTTACCTGAGGGGATTTGGGAGAGGTGTGAGGGGAAAGGGACAATTTGGGGGTTATTTGAGGGGAGATCTGAGGGAAAATTGGCGGGGTTGGTGTTGCCTGAGGGGATTTGGGAGAGGTCTGAGGGGCAGGAGGGAAATTTGGGGGTTTTGGGGTTGCTTGAGGAGAGATCTGAGGGGAAATTGGAGGGGTTGGTGTTACCTGAGGGGATTTGGGGGAGGTGTGAGGGGTAGGAGGGAAATTTGGGGGTTACTTGAGGGGAGATCTGAGGGGCAGGAGGGAAATTTTTGGGGTTTTGGGGTTGCTTGAGGAGAGATCTGAGGGGAAATTGGCGGGGTTGGTGTTACCTGAGGGGATTTGGGAGAGGTGTGTGGAAAAAGGGAAAATTTGGGGGTTACTTGAGGGGTAGTCTGAGGGGCAGGAGGGAAATTTTTGGGGTTTTGGGGTCACTTGAGGGGAGATCTGAGGGGAAATTGGCGGGTCGGTGTTACCTGAGGGGATTTGGGGGAGGTGTGAGGGGAAAGGGACAATTTGGGGGAGGTGTGAGGGGAAAAGGACAATTTGGGGGTTACTTGAGGGGAGATCTGAGGGGCAGGAGGGAAATTTTTGGGGTTTTGGGGTTGCTTGAGGAGAGATCTGAGGGAAAATTGGCGGGTTGGTGTTACCTGAGGGGATTTGGGAGAGGTGTGAGGTGTAGGAGGGAAATTTGGGGGTTACTTGAGGGGAGATCTGAGGGGCAGGAGGGAAATTTTTGGGGTTTTGGGGTCACTTGAGGGGAGATCTGAGGGGAAGAAGGGAAATTTGGGGGTTCAGGGATCACCTGAGGGAATTTGGGGGAGATCCAAAGGGGTAAGTGGGGAAACTGGGGGGGTCTTGGGGGTTTTGGGGTCACTTTAGGGGCGATCTGGAGGGAAGGGGAGGAGATTTGGGGGTTTTGGGGTCACCTGTGGGGATTTTGGGTTTCTTTGGGGGGATCTGAGAGTCCTGAGGGAGGTCAGGAATCCCTGGGGGAATTTTGGGGGTTCCTGGGGTGGGGAATTCTTGGGGTTCCTGGGGGGACAGAGGAATTTGGGGGGGGGTCGGGGGTTGTGGGGCAGAATTTGGGGGTCCCTGACCTCCCCCATTTCCCCCCAGGGACCCGGGAGGAGCTGCTGGAGCGGCTCCAGGCTTACACCCTGCAGGTGAGACCCCCAAAACGGGGGAACCCCAAATCCTCCCCTCTCCTTGCGTCCCTTGGAGGAGGAGGACTCGTTTTTGGGGGGGTCTGTTGTGATTCTGGGGGGATTTCATGGAGTTTTGGAGGGATTTATTGTGATTTTGGGAGGATTTAATGGGGTTTTGGAGGGATTTATTGTGATTTTGGGGGGATTTCATGGGGTTTTGGAGGGATTTATTGTGATTTTGGGGGAATTTAATGGGGTTTTCAGGGGGCAAATGGCAGTTTTGGAGCATGTAATGTGATTTTTGGAGTGTTTAATGTGATTTTGAGGGGATTTTTGAGGGATTTAATGTGGCTTGAGAGGGTTTCATGTGATTTTAGGGTTGTTTATTTTATTTCTGGGGTGGTGTAATGTGATTTTTAGGTGTCCTAATGGGATTTCAGGGGTATCTAATCAGATTTTGGGGAGCTTAATAGGATTTTGGGGGAGTTTAATGAGATTTTGAGTGGGTTTACTCTGATTTTGGGGGGTTTAATGTGATTTTGAGAGGTTTGAATGGGATTTTGGGGGGTTTAATGAGATTTTGAGCGGGTTTACTCTGATTTTGGGGGAGTTTAATGAGATTTTAGCGGGTTTACTCTGGATTTTGGGGGGTTTAATGTGATTTTGAGCGGGTTTACTCTGATTTTGGGGGGTTTAATGTGATTTTGAGTGGGTTTACTCTGATTTTGGGGCGTTTAATGAGATTTTGAGTGGGTTTACTCTGATTTTGGGGGGTTTAATGTGATTTTGAGAGGTTTGAATGGGATTTTGGGGGGTTTTAATGTGATTTTTGGGGCGTTTATTCCATTTTTTGGGGGGTGGGAGAGCTCCTGCTGCCCCTGCCCTCCCAGAGGGGGGGTCCCCATGTCCCCTCGAGTGTGGGGGGCTCACGGGGACCCCCCCAAAATTTGTGCCCCCCCCCCAGACTGGGATCGTGCTGAGCCGCCCTGCCCTGCGCCCTGAGGAGGGGGACAAGGCCCCGCCCCCCCAGGTGGGATTTTGGGGGATTTTGGGGGGGTTTGGTGGGGGCAGGAACCCCCCAGGGTCTGGTTTGGGGGGATGGGGGGACCCCCAGGACCCCCAATTTGGGGAGGGGGGGGGCATCCATGGGTTATTTTGGAGGGGTTTAAAATCCTTTAGAGCTCCAAATTTTTGGGATGGGGGGGGGGGTCATTGACATTCAATTTTGGGGTGAAGGGGCTCAAAATCTTCCCAAATTTGGGGGGGGGGCAACAATGATGCCCAGTTTTAGGGAGGAGGGGGGTTCAAACCCACCCAGACCCCCCAAATTTGAGGGGGGGGGCGACAATGACGCCCAGTTTTGGGGTGAAGGGGGGGGTTCAAACCAACCCAGACCCCCCAAATTTGAGGGGGGGGGCGACAATGACGCCCAGTTTTGGGGTGGGGGGGGGTTCAAACCAACCCAGACCCCCCAAATTTGAGGGGGGGGCGACAATGACGCCCAGTTTTGGGGTGGAGGGAGGGGGGGGTTCAAACCAACCCAGACCCCCCCCCAAATTTGAAGCCCTTGTGGTTTTAAATTTTGGGGTGGGGGGTGACCAGGGGATTCAAACCCCTCCCACCACCGAATCCCGGGGGGATGAAATTTTGGGGTGGGGGTGTCCCAGGTGACCCTGACCCCCCCCTCCCCCTCCCCAGCTGCCCCCAGCGCTGCCCCTGCAGCACCCCCTGGTGCCGCCCCCTCCCCCCCCGGGCCTGGGGCTCACTTTCGGTTTGGGGGGGCCCGTGGGGGGGGTCCCGGTGCCGCCCCCGCCCCCCCCCGCGGGGCTCTCCGAGGAGGAGCGGCTGACGCTGGCCCAGCAACAGGCGGCCCTGCTGCTGCAGGAGGAGCGGGCACAGGTCTGGGGGGCATTTTGGGGGGGTTTGAGGGGGTATTTTGGGGGTTAAAGCGGCCCTGCTGCTGCAGGAGGAGCGGGCACAGGTCCGGGGGGCGTTTTGGGGGGTTTAGGGGGGTATTTTGGGGGTTAAAGGGGGTATTTTGGGGGTTAAAGGGGGTATTTTGGGGGGTTTGAGGGGGTATTTTGGGGGTTAAAGGGGCCCTGCTGCTGCAGGAGGAGCGGGCACAGGTCCGGGGGGCGTTTTGGGGGGTTTAGGGGGTATTTTGGGGGTTAAAGGGGCCCTGCTGCTGCAGGAGGAGCGGGCACAGGTTTGGGGGGTGGGGGGCACGGGGGTGGGGGGTTTGAGGGGGTATTTTGGGGGGTTAAAGGGGCCCTGCTGCTTCTGGGGGCATTTCGGGGTTGGGGGGCACGGGGGTGGGGGGTTTAGGGGGTATTTTGGGGGTTAAAGGGGCCCTGCTGCTGCAGGAGGAGCGGGCACAGGTCTGGGGGGCATTTTGGGGGGTGGGGGGCACGGGGGTGGGGGGTTTAGGGGGGTATTTTGGGGGTGGGGGGCACGGGGGTGTGGGGTTTCGGGGGGTATTTTGGAGCTTAAAGGGTCCCTGCTGCTGCAGGAGGAGCGGGCACAGGTCTGGGGGGCGTTTTTGGGGGGTTTGAGGGGGTATTTTGGGGGTTAAAGGGGGTATTTTGGGGGTTAAAGGGTCCCTGCTGCTTCTGGGGGGCATTTCGGGGGGTGGGGGGCACGGGGGTGTGGGGTTTGGGGGGTATTTTGGGGTGGGGGGCACAGGGGTGGGGGGTTCAGGGGGGTATTTTGGGGGTTAAAGGGGCCCTGCTGCTGCAGGAGGAGCGGGCACAGGTCTGGGGGGCGTTTTGGGGGGTTTAGGGGGGTATTTTGGGGGGTTTGAGGGGTATTTGGGGGGTTAAAGGGGCCCTGCTGCTGCAGGAGGAGCGGGCACAGGTCTGGGGGGCATTTCGGGAGGTTTAGGGGGGTATTTTGGGGGTTAAAGGGTCCCTGCTGCTTCTGGGGGGCATTTTGGGGGGTGGGGGGCACGGGGGTGGGGGGTTTGAGGGGTATTTTGGGGGTGGGGGGCACGGGGGTGGGGGGTTTGAGGGGTATTTTGGGGGTTAAAGGGGCCCTGCTGCTTCTGGGGGGCATTTCGGGGGGTGGGGGGCACGGGGGTGGGGTTTTGGGGGTATTTTGGAGGTTAAAGGGGCCCTGCTGCTGCAGGAGGAGCGGGCACAGGTCTGGGGGGCATTTTGGGGGGTGGGGGGCACGGGGCTGGGGGGTTTCGGGGGGTATTTTGGGGGTTAAAGGGTCCCTGTGGCTGCAGGAGGAGCGGGCACAGGTCTGGGGTGGGGGGCATTTCGGGGGCTGGGGGGCACGGGGGTGGGGGGTTTAGGGGGGTATTTTGGGGGTTAAAGGGGCCCTGCTGCTTCTGGGGGGCATTTTGGGGGGTGGGGGGCACGGGGGTTGGGGGTATTTTGGGGGTTAAAGGGGGTATTTTGGGGGTTTCAGGGGTATTTTGGGGGTTAAAGGGTCCCTGCTGCTGCAGGAGGGGCAGGGACAGGTCCAGGGAGGGCGTTTTGGGGTGAGGGGCACCCTTGGGTGGGTGGGGAGCACGAGGGGACTCGGGGGTGAGGGGTTTGGGGGGGTTTGGGGGGATTTGGGGAGTTTAATGGTGTCCAGGGGGGTGTTGGATTGGGTGGGACACCTACAGAGGGGATGAGCTGAGGGGTGGTGGTTTTGGGGTGGGATTTGGTGTTTTTGGGGGGCGTGTTGAGGGGTGGGTGACCCCTTGGGGGGGCACCCATGGGTGCTGGGGGGGTTCTGACCGTGCTCCCCCAGCAGGGCCAGCACCCATTTGGGGACAAGGCCAAGGAGCAGGAGCTGCTGGAGCAGCAGAAACGGGTGAGGTGGGGGGGCACCCCTGGCTTTTGGGGGGCACCCCTGGGTTTTGGGGGGCACCCCTGGCTTTTGGGGGGCACCTCGGGGTGGGGGGGGTGAGCCCAGGCCCCCCTGACCCCCCGTGCCCCCCCGTGCCCCCCCGTGCCCCCCAGGCCGCGGTGCTGCTGGAGCAGGAGCGGCAGCAGGAGATGGCCAAGCTGACCCCCCCCCGCCCCCCGCGCGCCCCCCGAGGGGGCTCCCATGGCTGCCCGGACCCCCCTGGCCCCCCGAGGTGAGGGGGGCACCTTTGGGTGGGGTTGGGGGTGGGGGGGGACACCTTTGTCCCCTGTCCCCACCACCCCCTCCCGGGCTGATGTCACCTTTGTGTCCCCCCACCCCCCACCCCCATTTCAGGCAGCCCCATGGGAGCCCCCCTGGCCATGGGAGCCCCCCGGCCCCGCGGGCCCCCCCCGCCCCCCGGCGACGACGGCAGAGAGGTGGGGCTGGGGGCTTGGGGGGTCTGTGGGGGGCTCTGGGGGCTTGGGGGCTCTGTGGGGCTGGGGGCTTGGGGGGGTCTGTGGGGCTGGGGGCTTGGGGGATCTGTGGGGGCTCTGTGGGGCTGGGGGCTTGGGGGGTCTGTGGGGCTTGGAGGGTCTGTGGGGCTGGGGGCTTGGGGGGGTCTGTGGGGGCTCTGTGGGGCTGGGGATGTTCTCTGGGGGTCTGTGGGCTGGGGGCTCTATGAGGGGCTCTGTGGGGCTGGGGGCTTGGGGGCTCTGTGGGGCTGGGGGCTTGGGGGGGGTCTGTGGGGCTGGGGGCTTGGGGGGGGTCTGTGGGGCTTGGGGGGTCTGTGGGGCTGGGGGCTTGGGGGCTCTGTGGGGCTGGGGGCTCGGGGGGTCTGTGTGGGGCTGGGGGCTCAGGGGGTGTGTGGGGCTGGGGGCTTGGGGGGTCTGTGGGGGGCTCTGTGGGGCTGGAGGCTTGGGGGGGGTCTGTGGGGCTGGGGGCTTGGGGGGGTCTGTGGGGGGCTCTGTGGGGCTGGGGGCTTGGGGGCTCTGTGGGGCTGGGGGCTTGGGGGGGTCTGTTGGGGGGTTTCTTTGTGGGGCTGGGGGTCTGAGTCTGGGGTCTCTGTTGTGGGGAGGGGTCTCTGTGGGTTTGTGGTGTCTGTTGGGGAGGGGCTGTGGGGCTGGGGGCTCTGTTTGGGGTCTCTGGGGTCCCTTTATTGTGGGGAGGGGTCTCTGTGGGGCTGGGGGCTTTGTTTGGGGTCTCATGTGGGGCTGGGTTCCCTTTATTGTGGGGAGGGGTCTCTGTGGGGCTGGGGTCTCCCCAATTTTGGGGTCTGCTTAATTTCAGGAGGGTCTTTTTGATTTTGAGGGAATCCCAGGGGTCTTCCTCATTTTGGGGGTGGTCCCGGGGGTCCCGCTGATTTGGGGGGGGTCCCGGGGTTCTTTCTGATTTGGGGGGGGTCCCGGGGGTCTCCCTGATTTGGGGGGTGGTCCCGGGGGTCTCCCTGATTTGGGGGGGGTCTCCCTGATTTGGGGGGGGTCCCGGGGGTCTCCCTGATTTGGGGGTGGTCCCGGAGGTCTTCCTCATTTTGGGGGTGGTCCCGGGGGTCTTCCTCATTTTGGGCGTGGCCCTGGGTGGTCTCCCTGATTTGGGGGTGGTCCCCGGGGTCTCCCTGATTTGGGGGGGGTCTCCCTGATTTGGGGGGGGTCCCGGGGGTCTCCCTGATTTGGGGGGGGTCTCCCTGATTTGGGGGGGGTCCCGGGGGTCTCCCTGATTTGGGGGGGTTCCTGGGGGTCCCGCTGACCCCCCGTGTGCCCCCCAGGCCGAGGAGTCCGGGGTGGGCCCCAAGATCCCGCAGGCGCTGGAGAAGATCCTGCAGCTGAAGGAGAGCCGGCAGGAGGAGCTGGTGACGGTGCCGGGGGTCTCGGGTGAGCCCCCAATGTCCCCTGCCACCCCCCAGTGTCACCACGGTGTCATCACACTGTCCCCTGCCACCCCCAGTGTCCCCTGCCACCCCTCCAGTGTCCCCTGCCACCCCTGGGGACACCACGGTGTCACCACGGTGTCCCCTGACACCCCAGTGCCACCCCCAGTGTCACCACGGTGTCACCACGGTGTCCCCTGACACCCCCAATGTCACCACGGTGTCACCTCGGTGTCCCCTGCCACCCCCAGGGACACGCTCAGGGCCACCACGGTGTCCCCTGCCACCCCTCAGTGTCCCCTGCCACCCCCAGGGACACCCCCAGTGTCACCACGGTGTCCCCTGCCACCCCCATGGACACCCCCAGTGCCACCCACACTGTCCCCTGCCACCCCCAGTGTCCCCTGCCACCCCCACGGCCACCTCAGTGTCCCCTGCCACCCCTCAGTGTCCCCTGCCATCCCCAGTGTCACCATGCTGTCCCCTGCCACCCCCAGGGACACCCCCAATGTCCCCTGCCACCTCCAGGGCCACCACGGTGTCCCCTGACACCCCCAGGGCCACCCCCAGGGCCACCACGGTGTCCCCTGCCACCCCCAGTGTCCCCTGCCACCCCCACTGCCACCCCCAGTGCCACCACGGTGTCACCGCGGTGTCCCCTGCCACCCCCAGTGTCACCCCAGTGTCACCACGGTGTCCCCTGCCACCCCTCAGTGTCCCCTGCCACCCCCAGGGACACCCCCAATGTCCCCTGCCACCCCCAGGGACACCCCCAGGGCCACCACGGTGTCCCCTGCCACCTCCAGTGCCACCCCCAGGGCCACCACGGTGTCCCCTGCCATCCCCAGGGCCACTCGGTGTCCCCTGACACCTCCAGGGACACCCACACTGTCCCCTGCCACCCCCCAGTGTCCCTCAATCCTCTGCCACCCCCAGTGCCACCTCAGTGTCCCCTGCCACCCCCAGGGACACCCCAGTGTCACCTGACACCCCCAGGGACACCCCAATGTTCCTTGCCACCCCCAGTGCCACCTCAGTGTCCCCTGCCACCCCCAGTGCCACCCCCAGTGTCCCCTGCCACCCCCAGTGCCACCCCCAGTGTCCCCTGCCACCCCCAGGGCCACCACGGTGTTCTCTGCCACCCCCAGTGCCACCCCCAGTGTCCCCTGCCACCCCCAGTGCCACCCCTCAGTGTCCCCTGCCACCCCCAGGGACACCTCAGTGTCCCCTGCCACCTCCGGGGACACCCCCAGTGTCCCCTGCCACCCCCAGGGCCACCCCAGTGTCCCCTGCCACCCCCAGTGCCACTCAGTGTCCCCTGCCACCCCCACTGCCACTCGGTGTCCCCTGACACCCCCAGGGCCACCACGGTGTCCCCTGCCACCCCCAGGGACACCTCAGTGTCCCCTGCCACCCCCAGTGCCACCACACTGTCCCCTGCCCCCCCTCAGTGTCCCCCTGTCCCCTCTAGGTGTTCCCCACCACAGGAAACGCCTTTAAAGCATCAAAACCAACCCAAAAAACGGGAATTTTCCTCCCCAGAAATGGAAAATTCCACTAAAAAATGAGATTTGTCACCTGTGGGTGCTGCCAGGTGACCCCCAGGGACACCCCAAGGTCGTGTCACCCCCCCAAATGTCACCCAGTGCCCACCAGGTGCCACCCACCCTCCCAAAATCTTCTCAAAATTCCTCTAAAAATCGGGATTTGTGCTCTGGGGGGTGACACCAAAGGTGGGGGTGGCACCCAAATGTAGGGTGGTGGCACCCAGAGGTGGGGGGTGGCACCCAGAGGTGGGGGGTGGCACCCAGAGGTGGGGGACAGCCCTGACCCCCCGTGTCCCCCCAGCCGAGGACGAGATGGAGACGGAGCTGCGCGCGTCGGCGTCGGCCTCCGAGGCCGAGGAGGACACGGGGACATCCAAAAAGGAGGTGACAGAGGGGACACTGGGGGACAGGCCACCCCCCACCCAAACTGGCACCCATGGGCGAGTGGGGGGGCCTCAGGGTGCCCCAAATTTCGCCATGGTGGGGGCAGGGGGGGTGGTTTGGATGGCTCTGGGGTCACCGGGGTGTCACTGTTGTCCCCTCTCGGGGCCTGTGGCAGGGTTTGGGTCACTTTGGTGCCACCCCAGTGTCCCTTTTTTGTCCCTTTACTGGGGGGGGTCTGTCCCCTCTTGGTGCCACCCCAGTGTCCCTTTTTGTCCCTTTTTTGTCCCTTTACGGGGGGGATCTGTCCCCTCTTGGTGCCACCCCAGTGTCCCTTTTTGTCCCTTTACTGGGGGGGATCTGTCCCCTCTTGGTGCCACCCCAGTGTCCCTTTTTTGTCCCTTTTTTGTCCCTTTACTGGGGGGATCTGTCCACTCTTGGTGCCACCCCAATGTCCCTTTTTTGTCCCTTTACTGGGGGGGATCTGTCCACTCTTGGTGCCACCCCAATGTCCCTTTTTGTCCCTTTACTGGGGGGATCTGTTTCTCTTTGGTGCCACCCCAATGTCCCTTTTTGTCCCTTTACTGGGGGGGATCTGTTTCTCTTTGGTGCCACCCCAGTGTCCCTTTTTTGTCCCTTTACTGGGGGGGATCTGTCCCCTCTTGGTGCCACCCCAATGTCCCTTTTTGTCCCTTTACTGGGGGGGATCTGTCCCCTCTTGGTGCCACCCCAGTGTCCCTTTTTTGTCCCTTTACTGGGGGGGTCTGTCCCCTCTTGGTGCCACCCCAGTGTCCCTTTTTTGTCCCTTTTTTGTCCCTTTACTGGGGGGGATCTGTCCCCTCTTGGTGCCACCCCAGTGTCCCTTTTTTGTCCCTTTTTTGTCCCTTTTTTGTCCCTTTACGGGGGGGATCTGTCCCCTCTTGGTGCCACCCCAGTGTCCCTTTTTGTCCCTTTACTGGGGGGGATCTGTCCCCTCTTGGTGCCACCCCAGTGTCCCTTTTTGTCCCTTTACTGGGGGGGATCTGTCCCCTCTTGGTGCCACCCCAGTGTCCCTTTTTGTCCCTTTACTGGGGGGGATCTGTCCGCTCTTGGTGCCACCCCAATGTCCCTTTTTTGTCCCTTTTTTGTCCCTTTTTTGTCCCTTTTTTGTCCCTTTTTTGTCCCTTTACTGGGGGGGGATCTGTCCCCTCTTGGTGCCACCCCAATGTCCCTTTTTTGTCCCTTTTTTGTCCCTTTTTTGTCCCTTTACTGGGGGGATCTGTTTTTTTGGTGCCACCCCAGTGTCCCTTTTTTGTCCCCCCAAGTGCAGGGGGTGTGTCCCACTCTGGGGTCACCTGTGTCACCCTTGTGTCACCTCTGTCCCCTCTCCTGCCGTCCTATGGGGGGTCCCCCCAATTAGAGGGGCCTGTCCCACCTCGCTGTCCCCTCCTGTCCCCTCCCAGCGGAACCGGAAGCGCCGCAACCGCAAGAAGAAGAAGCGGGGGAGGGGCGGGGCCCGGGAGGGACCCCCAACCCCGACCCCCCCCCGGGGAGACCCCGAAACCCCCTCCGGGGACCCCCCCGAGGTGGAGATCGAGTACGTGAGCGAGGAGCCCGAGATCTACGACCCCAACTTCGTCTTCTTCAAGAGGATCTTCGAGGCCTTCAAGGTGACGCTTCGGGGGGCTGGTGGCACCTTTGGGTGTCAGGGGTCACCCCTGGGTGGTGGGGGTCACTGCTGGGTGCCAAGGGTCACTCCTGGGTGACCCCTGGGTGCCAAGGGTCACTGCTGGGTGCCAAGGGTCACTCCTGGGTGCCAAGGGTCACTGCTGGGTGACCCCTGGGTGGTGAGGGTCACTGCTGGGTGCCAAGGGTCACTGCTGGGTCACTCTTGTGTGCCAGGGTCACTCCTGGGTCACCCCTGGGAGGTGAGGGTCACTGCTGGGTGCCAAGGGTCACTCCTGGGTGCCAAGGGTCACTGCTGGGTGACCCCTGGGTGGTGAGGGTCACTGCTGGGTGCCAAGGGTCACTTCTGGGTCACTGCTGGGTGCCAGGGTCACTCCTGGGTCACCCCTGGGTGGTGAGGGTCACTGCTGGGTGCCAAGGGTCACTGCTGGGTCACTCTTGTGTGCCAGGGTCACTCCTGGGTCACCCCCGGGTGGTGAGGGTCACTGCTGGGTGACCTCTGGGTGCCAAGGGTCAGTGCTGGGGGTCACCCTTGGGTGCCAAGGGTCAGTGCTGGGTGACTCCTGGATGCTGAGGGGTCACTCCTGGGTCACTGTGGGGTGCCAAGGGTCACTCCTGGGTCACTCCTGGGTGCCAAGGGTCACTGCTGGGTGCCAAGGGTCACTGCTGGGTGACCCCTGGGTGCCAGGGGTCACACTTGGGTCACTGCTGGGTGCCAAGGGTCACTCCTGGGTGACAAGGGTCAGTGCAGGGGGTCACTGCTGGGTGCCAGGGGTCACTCCTGGGTCACCCCTGGGTGCCAATGGTCACTCCTGGGTCACCCCTGGGAGGTGAGGGTCACTGCTGGGTGACCTCTGGGTGCCAGGGTCACTCCTGGATCACCCCCGGGTGGTGAGGGTCAGTGCTGGGTGCCAAGGGTCACCCCTGGATGCTGAGGGTCACTCCAGTGTCACCCCTGGGTGCTGCTGAGCCACGTCTCCTGACCCCTGTCCCTGTCCCTGACCCCTGTCCCTGTCCCCTGTCCCTGTCCCTGTCCCCACAGCTGACGGACGAGGTGAAGAAGGACAAGGAGAAGGAGCCGGAGCGGGCGGAGCGAGCCGAGAGCGCCGGGGCGCCCCGGAAAAAGGGACCCGAGGATGGCACCAGGGGCAGCGAGGGGGACAGCTCCGAGGACGAGCAGGTGGCACTGGGGACACGGGGACACTGGGGACACTGGGGGACAGCTCCGAGGACGAGCAGGTGGCACTGGGGACATGGGGACATGGAGGGCATGGAGGGCATGGGGACACTGGGGACAGCTCCGAGGACGAGCAGGTGGCACTGGGGACACTGGGACACTGGGGACACTGGGGGACAGCTCCGAGGACGAGCAGGTGGCACTGGGGACATTGGGGACATTGGGGGACAGCTCTGAGGACGAGCAGGTGGCACTGGGGACATGGGGACATGGGGACATTGGGGGACAGCTCCGAGGACGAGCAGGTGGCACTGGGGACACGGGGGACATTGGGGACACTGGGGGACAGCTCCGAGGACGAGCAGGTGGCACTGGGGACACTGGGGACATGGAGGGCATGGGGACACTGGGGACATGGAGGGCATGGGGACATTGGGGACATGGAGGGCATGGGGACACTGGGGGACAGCTCCGAGGATGAGCAGGTGGCACTGGGGACACGGGGACACTGGGGACACGGAGGGCATGGGGACATGGAGGGCATGGGGACATTGGGGGACAGCTCCGAGGACGAGCAGGTGGCACTGGGGACATGGAGGGCATGGGGACACTGGGGGACAGCTCCGAGGACGAGCAGGTGGCACTGGGGACACTGGGGACATGGGGACACTGGGGGACAGCTCCGAGGACGAGCAGGTGGCACTGGGGACACTGGGGACACTGGGGGACAGCTCCGAGGACGAGCAGGTGGCACTGGGGACACGGGGACATGGGGACACTGGGGGACAGCTCCGAGGACGAGCAGGTGGCACTGGGGACATGGGGACACTGGGGACATGGAGGGCATGGGGACACTGGGGGACAGCTCCGAGGACGAGCAGGTGGCACTGGGGACACGGGGGTACAGGGGCAGTGATGGGGTGAGCAGGTGGCACTGGGGACATCAGGGACATTGAGGGTGACAGGGGGTGGCACCTGGAGGTGGTATTGAGTTGGGGACACTGGGGGTGGTGACAGCAGGGACTGGGAAGGAGCTGAGGTGGCCCTGGGAGGGACAGAGGGGACAGGGATGGCTCAGGGGTGGGGACAGCGGGTGGTGCCACCCGGGGCGTCCCTCCCGGTGTCACTTACGCTGTCCCCGCTGTCCCCAGGAGAAGAAGCAGGAGGTCCCCAAGCTGTCCAAGAAGAAGCTGCGGCGCATGAACAGGTTCACGGTGGCCGAGCTGAAGCAGGTGACACTTGGGGACACGGCCCTGTCCCCTCCCCCGTGGGTGTGGGACCTCAATCTTCTCCTTGTCACCTCACCAGTGCCACCCTGGTGTCCCATGTCCCCAGCTGGGGTCACTTTGGTGTCCTCAGCACCGTTCTGGGCCTCTCCTTCCCTCACTTCCCTTTGTCCCTTGGTGTCCCTTGATGTCCCTTTGCTGTCCCCAGCTGGTGGCCCGCCCGGACGTGGTGGAGATGGACAATGTGACCACCCAGAGGTCACTTGGATGGTCACCCAGCGGTCACTTTAATGACTGCCCAGAGGTCACTTAGATGGTCACCCAGAGGTCACTAATGACCACCCAGGGGTCACTTGGATGGTCACCCAGGGGTCACTTGGATGGTCACCCAGAGGTCACTTGGATGGTCACCCAGGGGTCACTAATGACCACCCAGGGGTCACTTGGATGGTCACCCAGAGGTCACTAATGACCACCCAGGGGTCACTTGGATGACCACCCAGGGGTCACTTGGATGACCACCCAGAGGTCACTTGGATGGTCACCCAGGGGTCACTTGGATGACCACCCAGGGGTCACTAATGACCACCCAGAGGTCACTTGGATGGTCACCCAGGGGTCACTTGGAGTCCCACAGAGCCACCCCTGGGGTTCCACCACGCTGCCACCCCTGCTGTCCCTTTGCTGTCCCCAGCTGGTGGCCCGCCCGGACGTGGTGGAGATGCACGACGTGACGGCGCAGGACCCCAAGCTGCTGGTGCACCTGAAGGCCACGAGGAACTCGGTGCCGGTGCCGCGGCACTGGTGCTTCAAGAGGAAATACCTGCAGGGCAAGAGGGGCATCGAGAAGCCGCCCTTCGAGCTGCCCGAGTTCATCAAGCGCACCGGCATCCAGGAGATGCGCGAGGCCCTGCAGGAGAAGGTGGGGACACCTTGGGGACACCTTGGGGACATTGGGGACACCTTGGGGACACCCTGGAGATGCCTCCAGGAATGCCTGAGGGGCGGCTGTGAGGGTGGGAGGGGGTTTGGGAAGGTTGTGGCATCCAGGAGATGCGCGAGGCCCTGCAGGAGAAGGTGGGGACACCTCGGGGACACCTTGGGGACACCTTGGGGACATTGGGGACACCTCCAGGAATGCCTGAGGGGCGGCTCTGAGGGTGGGACGGGGTTTGGGGAAAGGTCTTGAGGGTTTGGGAAGGTTGTGGCATCCAGGAGATGCACGAGGCCCTGCAGGAGAAGGTGGGGACACCTCGGGGACACCACGGAGACACCTCGGGGACATTGGGGACACTTTGGGGACACTTTGGGGACACCTCCAGGAATGCCTGAGGGGCGGCTCTGAGGGTGGGAGGGGGTTTGGGGAGGGGTATCAGAGGTCTGGGGAGGTTCTTGGTGGTCACCAGCATCCAGGAGATGCGCGAGGCCCTGCAGGAGAAGGTGGGGACACCTCGGGGACACCTCGGGGACACCTTGGGGACATTGGGGACACCTCCAGGAATGCCTGAGGGGCGGCTCTGAGGGTGGGAGGGGGTTTGGGGAGGGGTATCAGAGGTCTGAGGAGGTTCTTGGTGGTCACCAGCATCCAGGAGATGCGCGAGGCCCTGCAGGAGAAGGTGGGGACACCTTGGGGACACCCTGGGGACACCTCGGGGACACCTTGGGGACACCTTGGGGACATTGGGGACACCTCCAGGAATGCCTGAGGGGCAGCCAGGGGGATGGGAGAGGAGCAGGGAAGGGGTCTGGGGAGGTTCTTGGTGGTCACCAGCATCCAGGAGATGCGCGAGGCCCTGCAGGAGAAGGTGGGGACACCTCGGGGACACCTTGGGGACACCTCGGGGACACCTTGGGGACATTGGGGACAGCTTGGGGACATCTTGTGGACACCTTGGGGACATTGGGGACACCTCCAGGAATGCCTGAGGGGCGGCTGTGAGGGTGGGAGGGGGTTTGGGAAGGTTGTGGCATCCAGGAGATGCGTGAGGCCCTGCAGGAGAAGGTGGGGACACCTCGGGGACACCTTGGGGACACCCTGGAGGCACCTCCAGGAATGCCTGAGGGCAGCTGTGAGGGTGGGAGGGGGTTTGGGAAGGTTGTGGCATCCAGGAGATGCGTGAGGCCCTGCAGGAGAAGGTGGGGACACCTCGGGGACACCTTGGGGACATTGGGGACACCTCCAGGAATGCCTGAGTGCAGCTCTGAGGGTGGGATGGGGTTTGGGGAGGGGTATCAGAGGTCTGGGGAGGTTCTTGGTGGTCACCAGCATCCAGGAGATGTGCGAGGCCCTGCAGGAGAAGGTGGGGACACCTCGGGGACACCTTGGGGACACCTCGGGGACATTGGGGACACCTTGAGGACATTGGGGACACCTCCAGGAATGCCTGAGGGCAGCTGTGAGGGTGGGACGGGGTTTGGGGAAAGGTCTTGAGGGTTTCGGAAGGTTGTGGCATCCAGGAGATGCGCGAGGCCCTGCAGGAGAAGGTGGGGACACCTCGGGGACACCTTGGGGACATTGGGGACACCTCCAGGAATGCCTGAGGGGCGGCTGTGGGGCACTCAGGGGATGGGAGAATTTTGGAGGTTTGGGGATATCCTGGTTAGTTTTTTGGGACATCCTGGTTGGATTTTGGAGGTTTGAGGACATCCTGGTTGGATCTGGGGACATCCTGGTTGGATTTTTGGGACATCCTGGTTGGATTTTGTGACTTTGAGGACATCCTGGTTGGATTTTGGAGGTTTGGGGACATCCTGGTTGGATCTGGGGACATTCTGGTTGGATTTTTGGGACATCCTGGTTGGATTTTGTGACTTTGAGGACATCCTGGTTGGATTTTGGAGGTTTGGGGATATCCTGGTTGGATTTTTGGGACATCCTGGTTGGATTTTTGGGACATCCTGGTTGGATTTTGTGACCTTGTGGCCATCACGGTCACACCTGTGTCCTGGTGGCTGCCGCAGCTGCCCCCAAGGCTCCCTGGGGGCCACCCCCGTGTCCCCACAGCCCCGGGGCGTGTCCCCACTGTCCCCTGCCGTGTCCCCAGGAGGAGCAGAAGACCATGAAGTCCAAGATGAGGGAGAAGGTGCGGCCCAAGATGGGCAAGATCGACATCGACTACCAGAAGCTGCACGACGCCTTCTTCAAGTGGCAGACCAAGCCCAAGCTGACCATCCACGGGGACCTCTACTACGAGGTGGGGACACCTGGGGGACATCTGGGCCTTCAGGGCTGTCCTGGGGGACATTTGGGGACATCTTGGTTGGACGTTTTGGGGTTTGGAGATGTCCTGGTTGAAGATTTGGGGACATCCTGGTTGGATTTTGGAGGTTTGGGGACATCCTGGTTGGATTTTTGGGACATCCTGGTTGGGTTTTGTGACTCTGGGGACATCCTGGTTGGAGTTTTGGAGGTTTGGGGACATCCTGGTTGAAAATTTGGGGACATCCTGGTTGGATTTTGGAGGCTTGGGGACATCCTGGTTGGATTTTTGGGACATCCTGGTTGGATTTTGTGACTTTGAGGACATCCTGGTTGGATTTTGGAGGTTTGGGGACATCCTGGTTGGATCTGGGGACATCCTGGTTGGATTTTGTGACTTTGAGGACATCCTGGTTGGAGTTTTGGAGGTTTGGGGACATCCTGGTTGGATCTGGGGACATCCTGGTTGGATTTTTGGGACATCCTGGTTGGATTTTGTGACTTTGAGGACATCCTGGTTGGATTTTGGAGGTTTGGGGACATCCTGGTTGGATTTTGGGGATTTGGGAACGTTTTGGGTTGATATTTGGAGGTTTGGGGACATCCTGGTTGGATTTTAGGGGGTTTGTGGATATCCTGGTTGAACATTTTGGGGTTTGGGGACATTTGGGGATTTGAGGACATCCTGGGGGTGGCATTGGTGGCTTTGGAGACATTTTGGGTGGACCTTGGTGGCTTTTGGGACATCCTTGTGGGACTTTTGGGGCTTTGGTGACAGCCTGGCTGGATTTTTGGGGCCATCACTGCCCCCGTGACCCCGCTGTCCCCTGGGTGACCCCATTGTCCCCTCGGTGTCCCCTCGGTGTCCCCAGGGGAAGGAGTTTGAGACGCGGCTCAAGGAGAAGAAGCCGGGCGATCTCTCGGACGAGCTGCGGATCGCGCTGGGCATGCCCGTGGGGCCGGTAGGGCACCCCAAATCCACCCCAAATACACCCCAAATCCACCCCAAATACACCCCAAAACCCCAAATCCCCGTGGGGCCGGTATGGGCACCCCAAAACTGTCCCAAATACACCCCAAAACTGTCCCAAATCCACCCCAAAACCATCCCAAACCCCTAATCCCCGTGGGGCCGGTATGGGCACCCCAAAACCACCCCAAATCCACCCCAAAACCATCCCAAAACCATCCCAAACCCCAAATCCCTGTGGGGCCGGTATGGGCACCCCAAATCCACCCCAAATCCATCCCAAATCCACCCCAAAACCATCCCAAATCCACCCCAAAACCATCCCAAACCCCAAATCCCTGTGGGGCCGGTATGGGCACCCCAAATCCACCCCAAAACCATCCCAAATCCACCCCAAATCCACCCCAAATCCACCCCAAAACCATCCCAAATCCACCCCAAACCATCCCAAAACCATCCCAAATACACCCCAAAACCGTCCCAAATCCACCCCAAATCCACCCCAAAACCATCCCAAATCCACCCCAAATCCACCCCAAATCCACCCCAAATCCACCCCAAAACCATCCCAAACCCCAAATCCCCGTGAGGCCGGTATGGGCACCCCAAAACCACCCCAAATCCACCCCAAATCCATCCCAAATCCACCCCAAAACCGTTCCAAATCCACCCCAAAACCATCCCAAATCCACCCCAAAACCGTCCCAAATCCACCCCAAAACCATCCCAAATACACCCCAGAACCATCCCAAATACACCCCAAAACCATCCCAAACCCCAAATCCCTGCGGGGCCGGTATGGGCACCCCAAATACACCCCAAATCCACCCCAAAACCATCCCAAACCCCTAATCCCCATGGGGCCGGTATGGGCACCCCAAAACCATCCTAAAGCCATCCTAAATCCACCCCAAAACCATCCCAAATCCACCCCAAAACTGTCCCAAACACCAAATCCCCGTGGGGCCGGTATGGGCACCCCAAATCCACCCCAAATCCACCCCAAAACCGTCCCAAACACCAAATCCCCGTGGGGCCGGTATGGGCACCCCAAATCCACCCCAAAACCACCCCAAAACCGTCCCAAACACCAAATCCCCGTGGGGCCGGTATGGGCACCCCAAATCCACCGTAAAGCACCCCAAATCCACCCCAAAACCGTCCCAAATACACCCCAAAACCATCCCAAACCCCAAATCCCCGTGGGGCCGGTATGGGCACCCCAAATCCACCGTAAAGCACCCCAAATCCACCCCAAAACCGTCCCAAATACACCCCAAAACCATCCCAAACCCCAAATCCCCGTGGGGCCGGTATTGGTACCCCAAATCCACCCTAAATCCATCCCAAACCCCAAATCCACCCCAAATCCATCCCAAATACCTGGGCGTGCCCGTGGGGCTGGTATGGGCACCCCAAATCCACCCTAAAACCATCCTAAAACCACCCCAAATGCACCCCAAAACCATCCCAAATCCACCCCAAAACCATCCCAAACTCCAAACCCCTGGGAATGCCCCAAATCCACCCGAAATCCTTGGGAATGCCCCAAATCCCACCCCAAATCCCACCCCAAACCCCTGGGATGCCCCAAATCCCACCCCAAATCCTGCCCCAAATCCCACCCCAAACCCCTGGAATGCCCCAAATCCCGCCCCAAATCCACCCCAAATCCTTGGGAATGCCCCAAATCCCACCCCAAATCCTTGGGAATGCCCCAAATCCTGCCCCAAATCCCACCCCAAACCCCTGGGAATGCCCCAAATCCCGCCCCAAATCCCACCCCAAACCCCTGGGATGCCCCAAATCCTTGGGAATGCCCCAAATCCCGCCCCAAATCCCACCCCAAACCCCTGGAATGCCCCAAATCCACCCCAAATCCCACCCCAAACCCCTGGGAATGCCCCAAATCCTTGGGAATGCCCCAAATCCCGCCCCAAATCCCACCCCAAACCCCTGGGATGCCCCAAATCCACCCGAAATCCTTGGGAATGCCCCAAATCCCACCCCAAACCCCTGGAATGCTCCAAATCCTTGGGAATGCCCCAAATCCCGCCCCAAATCCCACCCCAAACCCCTGGGATGCCCCAAATCCTTGGGAATGCTCCAAATCCCGCCCCAAATCCACCCGAAATCCTTGGGAATGCCCCAAATCCCACCCCAAATCCTTGGGAATGCCCCAAATCCCACCCCAAATCCCACCCCAAATCCTTGGGAATGCCCCAAATCCCGCCCCAAATCCCACCCCAAATCCTTGGGAATGCCCCAAATCCCGCCCCAAATCCCACCCCAAATCCCACCCCAAACCCCTGGGAATGCCCCAAATCCTTGGGAATGCCCCAAATCCCGCCCCAAATCCCACCCCAAACCCCTGGAATGCCCCAAATCCCACCCCAAATCCCTGGGATGCCCCAAATCCTTGGGAATACCCCAAATCCCGCCCCAAATCCCACCCCAAATCCCACCCCAAACCCCTGGAATGCCCCAAATCCTTGGGAATGCCCCAAATCCCGCCCCAAATCCCGCCCCAAACCCCTGGAATGCCCCAAATCCCACCCCAAATCCCACCCCAAACCCCTGGAATGCCCCAAATCCCACCCCAAATCCCACCCCAAACCCCTGGGATGCCCCAAATCCTTGGGAATGCCCCAAATCCCACCCCAAAACCCAACCCCAAACCCCTGGGAATGCCCCAAATCCCGCCCCAAATCCACCCCAAATCCTTGGGAATGCCCCAAATCCCACCCCAAATCCCACCCCAAACCCCTGGAATGCCCCAAATCCACCCCAAACCCCTGGAATGCCCCAAATCCCGCCCCAAATCCCACCCCAAACCCCTGGAATGCCCCAAATCCCGCCCCAAATCCACCCCAAATCCTTGGGAATGCCCCAAATCCTTGGGAATGCCCCAAATCCCACCCCAAACCCCTGGGAATACCCCAAATCCCGCCCCAAATCCCACCCCAAACCCCTGGGATGCCCCAAATCCTTGGGAATGCCCCAAACCCCTGGGAATGCCCCAAATCCCACCCCAAATCCTTGGGAATGCCCCAAATCCCACCCCAAACCCCTGGAATGCCCCAAATCCTTGGGAATGCCCCAAATCCCGCCCCAAATCCACCCCAAACCCCTGGGATGCCCCAAATCCACCCGAAATCCTTGGGAATGCCCCAAATCCCACCCCAAATCCCCTGGAAATGCCCTAAATCCCACCCCAAATCCCGCCCCAAACCCCTGGGATGCCCCAAATCCTTGGGAATGCCCCAAATCCCGCCCCAAATCCCGCCCCAAACCCCTGGGAATGCCCCAAATCCCACCCCAAACCCCTGGGAATGCCCCAAATCCCACCCCAAACCCCTGGGATGCCCCAAATCCCGCCCCAAATCCCACCCCAAACCCCTGGGAATGCCCCAAATCCTTGGGAATGCCCCAAATCCCGCCCCAAATCCCACCCCAAACCCCTGGGATGCCCCAAATCCACCCGAAATCCTTGGGAATGCCCCAAATCCCACCCCAAACCCCTGGAATGCTCCAAATCCTTGGGAATGCCCCAAATCCCGCCCCAAATCCCACCCCAAACCCCTGGGATGCCCCAAATCCTTGGGAATGCCCCAAATCCCGCCCCAAATCCACCCGAAATCCTTGGGAATGCCCCAAATCCCACCCCAAATCCTTGGGAATGCCCCAAATCCCACCCCAAATCCCACCCCAAATCCTTGGGAATGCCCCAAATCCCGCCCCAAATCCCACCCCAAATCCTTGGGAATGCCCCAAATCCCGCCCCAAATCCCACCCCAAATCCCACCCCAAACCCCTGGGAATGCCCCAAATCCTTGGGAATGCCCCAAATCCCACCCCAAACCCCTGGAATGCCCCAAATCCCACCCCAAATCCCTGGGATGCCCCAAATCCTTGGGAATACCCCAAATCCCGCCCCAAATCCCGCCCCAAATCCCACCCCAAACCCCTGGAATGCCCCAAATCCTTGGGAATGCCCCAAATCCCGCCCCAAATCCCGCCCCAAACCCCTGGAATGCCCCAAATCCCACCCCAAATCCCACCCCAAACCCCTGGAATGCCCCAAATCCCACCCCAAATCCCACCCCAAACCCCTGGGATGCCCCAAATCCTTGGGAATGCCCCAAATCCCACCCCAAACCCCTGGGAATGCCCCAAATTCCACCCCAAAACCCAACCCCAAACCCCTGGGAATGCCCCAAATCCCGCCCCAAATCCACCCCAAATCCTTGGGAATGCCCCAAATCCCACCCCAAATCCCACCCCAAACCCCTGGAATGCCCCAAATCCACCCCAAACCCCTGGAATGCCCCAAATCCCACCCCAAATCCCACCCCAAACCCCTGGAATGCCCCAAATCCCGCCCCAAATCCACCCCAAATCCTTGGGAATGCCCCAAATCCTTGGGAATGCCCCAAATCCCACCCCAAACCCCTGGGAATACCCCAAATCCCGCCCCAAATCCCACCCCAAACCCCTGGGATGCCCCAAATCCTTGGGAATGCCCCAAACCCCTGGGAATGCCCCAAATCCCACCCCAAATCCTTGGGAATGCCCCAAATCCCACCCCAAACCCCTGGAATGCCCCAAATCCTTGGGAATGCCCCAAATCCCGCCCCAAATCCCACCCCAAACCCCTGGGATGCCCCAAATCCTTGGGAATGCCCCAAATCCCACCCCAAACCCCTGGGAATGCCCCAAATCCCACCCCAAACCCCTGGAATGCCCCAAACCCACCCCAAACCCCTGGGAATGCCCCAAATCCCACCCCAAATCCCGCCCCAAATCCCTGGAATGCCCCAAATCCCACCCCAAACCCCTGGAATGCCCCAAACCCACCCCAAACCCCTGGGAATGCCCCAAATCCCACCCCAAACCCCTGGAATGCCCCAAACCCACCCCAAACCCCTGGAATGCCCCAAATCCCGCCCCAAATCCCACCCCAAACCCCTGGGAATGCCCCAAATCCCGCCCCAAATCCCACCCCAAACCCCTGGAATGCCCCAAATCCCACCCCAAACCCTTGGAATGCCCCAAATCCCACCCCAAACCCCTGGAATGCCCCAAATCCTTGGGAATGCCCCAAATCCCACCCCAAATCCTTGGGAATGCCCCAAATCTCACCCCAAACCCCTGGGAATGCCCCAAATCCTTGGGAATGCCCCAAATCCCACCCCAAATCCCACCCCAAACCCCTGGAATGCCCCAAATCCACCCCAAATCCACCCGAAATCCTTGGGAATGCCCCAAATCTCACCCCAAACCCCTGGGAATGCCCCAAATCCTTGGGAATGCCCCAAATCCCGCCCCAAATCCCGCCCCAAACCCCTGGAATGCCCCAAATCCTTGGGAATACCCCAAATCCACCCGAAATCCTTGGGAATGCCCCAAATCCTTGGGAATGCCCCAAATCCCACCCCAAATCCCGCCCCAAACCCCTGGGATGCCCCAAATCCTTGGGAATGCCCCAAATCCGACCCCAAACCCCTGGAATGCCCCAAATCCCACCCCAAATCCCACCCCAAACCCCTGGGATGCCCCAAATCCTTGGGAATGCCCCAAATCCACCCGAAATCCTTGGGAATGCCCCAAATCCCGCCCCAAATCCCACCCCAAACCCCTGGGAATGCCCCAAATCCCACCCCAAACCCCTGGGATGCCCCAAATCCTTGGGAATGCCCCAAATCCCACCCCAAATCCCACCCCAAACCCCTGGGATGCCCCAAATCCTTGGGAATGCCCCAAATCCCCTGGAAATGCCCCAAATCCACCCCAAATGCTTGGGAATGCCCCAAATCCCACCCCAAACCTCTGGGAATGCCCCAAATCCACCCGAAATCCTTGGGAATACCCCAAATCCCACCCCAAACCCCTGGCAGTGGGCAGGGGTCTCTGTGCCCCCACCCCTTCCTTTTGGGCCCCCCAAATTCCTGCCGTGACTTTGGGGGAGGGGGGATTTCGGGGTGCTGGGGCGGATTTGGGGTTTTTTGGGGTGCCGGGGGTGGGATTTTCGGGGTGCTGACCCCCCCTGTGCCCCCCCAGAACGCCCACAAGGTGCCCCCCCCGTGGCTGATCGCCATGCAGCGCTACGGACCCCCCCCCTCGTACCCCAACCTCAAAATCCCGGGGCTCAACTCCCCCATCCCCGAGGTGAGCGGATTTTGGGGGGTTTTGGGGGATTTTGGGGGATTTTGGGGTTTTTTTTGGGGGGTTTTGGGGGTTTTTGGGTGGTTTTTGGGGGGTTTTTGGGGTCTCTGGTGGCAGGATTTAGGGGGATTTTGGTGCTGCAGGGTGGAGGTATTTGGGTGGTTTTAGGGGGGTTTGGGGGTTTTTTGGGGGGGTTTTGGGGTTTTTTGGGGGGTTTTGGGGGTTTTTGGATGGTTTTTGGGGTCTTGGGTGGCAGGATTTTGGGGGATTTTGGGGTTTTTTTGGGGGTTTTGGGGGTTTTTTGGGGGGTTTTGGGGGTTTTTGGGTGGTTTTTGGGGGTTTTTTGGGGTTTTGGGTGGAAGGATTTAGGGGAATTTTGGTGCTGCAGGGCGGAGGTATTTGGGTGGTTTTGGGGTTTTTTGGGTTTTTTTGGGG